TTGCGTTCCAAAGTCTTGGGTCTCGCTTTTGCGTTTGCCAATATCGAATGGCAATATATCGGAAGGCCAGGACCTGAATAACTTTCAAAGCCTATTTCTCCGTCGACTGCATGGTTTTTCATCTTGGAAGGATTCAGAAGACGGCCCATGCCGGTTGCCGCTGGATAATTTTCTAGAGACAAAGGTATGTGTAGTATGGTACTAATTGTGTCGAGGTTAGAACGATCTGACACAGACTTTTACATGCTTGTACAAAAGTCGGTCGTTGAAGCTGTTCACCAACATTTTGTCCGCAAGAACGCTGGCAGCGCATTGTGTCAACCAGATTGCCTGAAAGTTGTGTCCCTCTTTGAGGACTCTTCAAAGTTTGCACTTCCAGAGACCGAAGATTATGTCTACTTTTCTGGCGTTCGAGCGATGGGGCACTTGCAGCTCCAGATTATCGACAACAGGGGTAATTTTCGTCGTGCTCCCGTATCGCCGGAGGGTATTCCTGTGATTTTACAGGTGACTAGTTCATGCTCAGCAGTCATGTCCTCCTGCTCTGACAAGGATATCGAAGAAACTACAACAAAACCAAGTCAATCGACTGCGTTCTTGTGCCCGTTACTTAGGGCTTCCATGTGCTGTGATACCAGTATTCGAGTGGAAACACCATTATCCATCGACCAACTTGTTTTGAGTGGAGCAAGCTTACAAATGCATAATCCAGTGATAGGTACTGGCAGCGATTTTTTTTACTGAAAAATACCTACAATAGTTTATACTGGTTATACCGAAGTATGAAAACGGATTCGTGAAATGCCACCGGTTCCGGTACGTACGGTATCTCAATCCGAAATCTATTTTCACATGGCGGCGGTACAGTACCAGGTTTTGTCAGAAGAAATTAAATAATCTACATGTATCCTAAATTGCACGGGCAATAACAATATCATATTATTTGCGGCGATTTTATGCAATAGTATTATTATTGCCACTGCGTGTACTATCAGATAAACTGAGCGCTCCAGCGAAATTTTGATAGATTATTTTATTTCCTCTGACAAAACCTGAACCCGGCAAGCGCGACAGCAAATTGGAGTGGACGCATCTGAAAAGTTCCACCACTGGGGTCCCATTCAGCTGCTGCTTCTTGAATACAACAGAGAGCCGAACGTAGATCCCCGATATATTGGAAAAAGGCGGTAGGACCTGGCGACCATGTGGCTGGGTCGTGAGTGATAGATCGGCCACCACCACTCTGCGTGGGTAGGAGAAGAGGGTAAGAAATGGTTCAGTTGGCGGGTTCCGAAATGGACGGCGAAGATCATCTTTTCCGCTACCTCGGTAAGCGAGTAATAATTATTCCGAATTAATATTTCCGTCTATAAGCAATGCAATCTTTTATTCGGAGGGCCTGTCTGTCCGAATTGGACTCTGATGCGTTCATTGCTGTCTTTTTCGAGCAACATCTGATGCAAAAATTGACATGCTCGGAGCTGTACTGCACACACATAACAATGTCTCGTGTAGTGTTTGTGCAGTACAGCTCAGGCATTCCGAAATAATCATTGTATTGCTGCTTCAATACAATAGTTTACACTTAATTATTGATTTTTACAAATTGGATGACTTTGTCCAATTAGTTATTTTGTATTTACAACAAAGTACTTTATTTTTTCGTAAAATCTAGTTTTTTCTGCTTTGTTTTGCGTAAATACGGAGCTCGGTCTCCAGACAGAATCGAATGGCTGTTAGCAACGGTCGCTCAAAACGCGAACCTGAGGCGCTCGTCTATCATTTTTGATCTCACCATGGCTCTCGCCAACACTTTCACGACCAAGCAAGTCTGCAGCTACTTTTTTACTGCCAGCTTGGCGACTTCCAGTCGGCCACCATGAAGCTTCAAGACGACAACGTACCGCTTCTCGGTGTGCGCGATATCTTTGATGCGCTCATCGAGAAGCATTCCGTTGTGAAAAAGTATCTTGCTGCCGACGCAAATACGTGGACTTCGAGCGAGCGTGCGTTGTAGCCCTGTCAGGCGCCGTGGACGAGCTGACGAACGACCAGGAGCTGATGTTGCAGCCATTTGAGACGGTACCCGCAATTACGACACCGGACACCAGGCACGGACGCCCACAGGGCTTTGCCGACAGAGTCTTGGCGACTAGAAAAAAGCGGCGCGGTGCAAAGAAGATATTTGATGGTGTGCTTTTCATCCCGCCGACGTCAAACACCGTGGAGTGTCTTTTTAGTGTGGCGAAACATACTCTTTTCCACCATCGCCAGCGTATGCTGCCTATTCACCTCGGAACCGTGTTGTTCCTGAAGATGAATCGGCGTTTCTGGGACGCAAACACTGTAGCAGCTATCGTGAACGCAAAGTAATGTGCAGTGCTGTACATCTAAGTAGTTAATTTTCCAATACACTACTATTGATGTCAATTATTTATTTCTTAAGCTGTAGTTTTTGTAGCAATAGCTTATTTTGGCATGGACCTTCAATATGATTGCAATTGTATTATCGGAATGCCTGGTACAGCTCCAAGCATGTCAATTTCACACAAACACCGTCAGGATGAAAGCTTCTTGGTTGCCACTGTACCTGCGCCTCCGTCACCCACTCACTGCGACGCGGATCTTCGTCTTCATTCGCATGGTGTCGTCGATGAAGTAAACTTAAAGCTCCGCTATGAAATATTAACACGTGTATTTCTGCTTGGTGTTTCGTCCACTTCAGCTTAAATTTACCAAAACCGGGTGTCGAAAACTCGAGAATGTCATGAGTGCGACATGCCGTTCAGTAAGCTCTTCCAGCAAACTTCCGCTGTGTGCTCGAGGTACAGTATTACGCCGCATTTAGCGAGCTGCACGGAGCCTGCCTCATATTTAGCAGCAATGGACTCGAATATCCAGGTCTCTCCGCTCGTGAAAGCCTCCTCTACGAACGACATCGGCGACCACGAGGCTATGAGCCTCTTCGGAGGACCACCGCCCCCAACGCCTCCCCCCATGCCAGTAAAATCAGCTTCCACAGGCGAGATCGACGACCACGAGAGCTACGATCTCTTCGGCGTCGGTCCCAGCATCTCTGTGGCCACTGCAGTCACGAAGGAACCCGCGCCCATGGCCAGTACAGCTCCAGTGGAAGAAGGAGGCGCCGGAGAGGTGCCTGTGCAACCTGCAGAGCCAATATCACCCGTCAACAACGACCTCTTCCCTGCAGCGGTGTCAACGGATAAACCAGAGAAAGTTGAGGAGCCGGCGCTCTTATCATCGTCGAGAGGACTCAGTCACCGTGACAGCAGTAGCACCGCCACGGACTCGGTGGGTGGAGGATCGTTCAGAGGAGAATTGCCACGTGCCAACAGCAACGCGTTGCAGGTAGCTCCGACGCAGCAACCGGCTTCTGAACCGACGTACAAGATGGCAGGCAACGCTGTTGATATTGTGGCCGTCAAGAATATGGATGGAAAGTATCTTACGACTTCATGGCACGTGTCGTTCTCATGGTCGCGCTTTCGAACGAGTTACGCTACAGGTGTGGGCGATATGGTCAGGATCTTGGTCAATGGGAGAGAAATGCCGACCAAGATGGAGTTGCATGAACGTGGCCGCTGTACGTTTATAACAGGCGGCTTGATTATCCCACCGGACGATTTGTGTTTCGCTGATCTGACCGAGGATCACCCCAACCTTGTGCGGTTTGAGCACTTCCAGAAGTATACAAACACAGTCCGCTTTGTAGATGCGAAGCTGCATCTGTGGGGACCCAACGAATCGGTCGTCGTGGTCGATTTGGATGGCACGCTTACAATTAGTGACGTGGAAGGCCATATCCGCACTCTGCGTCTTGGCCAGTACGACTTCCTGCATGCAGGAGCTTGCGACTTCTTCACTAAGTTGCACGAACTGGGGATGCGAATCGTATACCTCACTGCACGTCCACTCGACTGGGCTTCGGCGTCACGAACGCACTTGGAGAATGCAGTTCAACAATCGATCTCGCTTCCTCCAGGGGTTCTCATCACAAATTCTACAGGTCTCACGGGTGCACTGTTTACTGAGGTTGTCAATAAGACCCCACACCTTTTCAAGATCCAAGTACTAAACGAGCTGCAACTCACGCTTATTCACGCTGGCCGCGTGATCGAGCATCCAGTCTTCGTGGCTGGTTTCGGCAATCGCCCCACCGACATCGTGGCCTACGAGGAAGTAGGTATGGACCCAAGCCTCATCTTCATGCTGGATCCGTACTCGAACGTCAAGGCTGTGTCGGACCCGCGTCTCTATGAGTCGTATAGTGACCCGAACGCGTTGCTGTGGCTTCTGCCTCGACTCAAGCATCGCATACCCATCGAAAAAGTCGGCCGTATCGATGACTACACTGTGCGTGAACTCGTTCTGGCTGAAGATCGTGAACAGCTGCGTATGGCTGAGTTGGAGGCTCGTCGACTGCAACAGGAAGAGTTCGAGCGTGCGCGTCAAGAAGCCGACCAAGCCCGATACACCTCCAGTAATGCTCTACGCGCTAGCAGCAGAAGTCTCTCCAGGTAAACTCCGCAGCGAATGGTCGACTGTCTCGTATTATATTTCTTCCGTAAAATTAAAGGCTAGAGGTATGGATATCTATCTACCACCTACATTTGACAAGCAATGACCACTGGACAGACCACCGAAATGGTTCAATCAAAATGAACATTAAACTACTTCTCTGTATTGGTCTCATTTCAGCGATGTCCGTATATCGAAGTTGCTGGTTGAGCTTCCGGCGGTACAACACACGCTCGGCTGCGCACCAGCAGCGTCAATTCGAGGTGCTGGTGCCCGCGCTGCAGACTTTTAAGCGTCTGCATGGTCACTACGCCGTCCCGCTGCGCTATACAGTGCCGAGTACTCGCAATTCTGGCGCTGAGCAATGGCCACAAGAACTCCACGGAATGAAATTGGGCACGACTATCTCGCGGTTCTTAAAGGCTTGTGCGTCAGCTAAGAAACCCTCGAAACGACAGAGCTTAGACCGACTTCGAGCACAACTTCGGGAAATTGGAGTACCGGAAGTTGAGGACTGGAAACGTTTCTTGTGGGACGAATTGACAGTGCCAGCAATGCAGACGTACAGATCGAAGCACGGAGATCTGCTCATCCCAGCATCGTTCACTGTTCCTGAAGGAGATGACGCATGGCCCCGCTCGACATGGGGCTACAAACTGGGCTATTGGACGAGCGAGCTTCGGCGTAAGAAGGACATGCTGCAACAGTATCAAGTAGACGATCTGAAAGCTCTAGACTTTAGCTGGAATGCTCTCGAAGCTCGTTGGAACCGATACTTTGTTCCAGCAAGGCAGACGTACCAGGAACTGTATGGCACTTCACAAGTACCACAGAGCTTTGTGGTGCCGTGCAACGATCCAGACTGGCCGGCAGAGCTCGGGGGATATCGACTTGGGCAAAAGGTGAATAATTTGCGTTGCGGTAATGCCGAGGAGCTGCAAGATATAGAGCTGATCTACAAGAGCTGGATGCTTCTAGAAACTCTGCACGTAGTGGACGAAGGTGACGAAGATCTGGATGCACAAAACGACGAAGAGGAATTTGAGAAATAAGCCACAACTCGACAAGTTGCTTTTGATAATTTCGTGGTGCATTATTAATGATACTTTTCTGTCTCTCCATCGTGTCATGACCAAAAAGTCCCACCGCCCAACATTCCTACTGCTCGGATCGCTCAGTCAGCTCGTCCTTGGCATGCCAGGATGCTCTTTGCAGCGATGGGACCTTAGCTTCAGATGCTCGATCCGAGCTGCACAATGCGCGGGTAGCACGGCAGCGTGAGGAAGTCCACCATGTCGTCTCCTGTCAGCACCTTGCCCATGATCTCGCCTCCGAGCGCCCACTTGTTGCCCGGAGGGGCATTCAGTGACCGCTTGTTGACACACTCCTTCAGGATGTCCAGCACTAAATCCTTCGTCACGGTCTTGCCCTCCACCGTCTTACAGCTGTGACGAATCCATTGCCAGACTTGTGCACGCGAGATCTCGGCCGTAGCAGCGTCCTCCATCTTGTTATGCAGCGGGATACAGCCACTGCCACGAAGCCACGCCTCCGTGTACACGAGCGACACGTCAATATTCTCCACCAGACCATTGTACGTGATAGCACCCGTCGGGGGTTCGATGAGCTGAGCTGCAGTGATATCCTTGCCGACCTCAGGGATGAACGAGATCTGGTTCGGACCCGACATCTTGCTGAACGCGTCCATGGCAATCTTGACGAGACCCGGATGCGCCACCCACGTGCCGTCGTGACCCGCAGTCACCTCACGCGACTTGTCCTCCGTGACGGCAGCCATGAACTTGTTGTTGAGCTCCGGGTCGTTCTTGACGGGGATCTGAGCCGCCATGCCGCCCATAGCGTGAGCGCCACGACGGTGGCACGTGCGGACGAGCAGCTTGACGTAGGCGGCCATGAACGGTGTGGTCATACCAACCGATGAGCGATCCGGCACCACGAACTTGGGGTGGTTGCGGAACTTCTTAATGTACGAGAAGATATAGTCCCATCGACCACAGTTGAGACCCGACGAGTGGTTGCGCAACTCATACAGGATCTCGTCCATCTGGAAGACAGCCACGATGGTCTCCACCAGCACAGTCGCGCGGATGGAACCCTGCGGAATGCTCAGATAGCTCTGGGCGGCCACGAACACGTCGTTCCACAGCTTGGCTTCTAGGTGGTGCTCTAGTTTGGGTAGGTAGAAGTACGGACCCGAGCCACGCGCCAGCAGTTCGTGTGCGTTGTGGAAGAAGTAGAGGCCGAAGTCGAAGAGCGATCCAGACATGATCTGGTTGTTCACAAGCACGTGGGCCTCGTCCAGATGCCAGCCACGCGGACGCACCAGCAGCGTTGCCACCTTGTCGTTGAGCGCGTACTTCTTGCCTGTCTGCGGGTGCGTGTACGAAATGGTCTTGCGCGCTGCATCGATGAGGTTTACCTGGCCGTCCACCTGGTTGAACCACGTGGGGGCCGTCGAGTCCTCAAAGTCGGCCATGTAGCACTTGGAACCAGAGTTAAGCGCGTTAATAACCATCTTGCGGTCCACAGGGCCCGTGATCTCGACGCGGCGGTCAGCCAGGTCAGCGGGGATAGATGCCACCTTCCAGTCGCCTTCGCGGATGTAGGCGGTTTCAGGCAGGAAGTCCGGCAGCACACCGGCATCCAACTCCTTCTGACGCTGTACACGCGCAGCCAACAGTGCCTGTCGCCGTGGCTCGAACTGCTCATGCAGGAAGGCGAGGAAGCGTAGTGCATCGGGCGTGAGTACGCGGCGGAACGCATCCGAGACGTGGCCCAGCACGCGGACGTTGGCGGCGTTGACATTGAGCTCCGACATGGCGGTTTCTATGTGTATTGCGTCTGGACTTCTTTCGCTGATAGCGACGAGGCAAATTGCGGAATGGCTTCTAGCTGGGCGATCCTAAGAGGATGCCGACGTTTTGGACGTGCTGGTTCGCAATATGAAATCGTCTTCAACGTACGAAACGATTTTAGCCAATAGGCGAAGATCGAGGATCGACGTAGCCAGTGTCACGGGCTTTGAGCTTACAAAAAGCAGGTGAAAAAGGAGGGACCATCACTCTTGCTATTGCGTTTAACTTCCAACACCGCAGCACATGCTCCAAAGTGATCGTGGTGATTGGACGGGCACTTTCTCTGGCCAAGGGATGCATGTGAAAACACCTCCCTGCGAGAACTCCGGGTACGAATTTTGCCGAAGCGCTTGGTCGACCATACACCCTGGTTACCAGGGTTTGGTATGCCCACATTCGAATCATGGGCAGGGGCTCATTTCCGCTTGAAGACTCTCCAATGGAGATCTACGGCCATGGAGTTTGCAACGGTCGTTCGTAGTGTTTTGGTCCAGATGCCACAAAAACGTTTCAATCTGTGGTACACGCTATTTAAAGAAAGGCATTGTTATTAAATTATTGTAAAATTATAATTTTTTAATCAGGTTACATGTATACTTCCGGATACAGTAGATCAAGACAATCACGGTGCATGCTTCAAAAAGACTAAACTTCATTTTCAAATGTGCTGCTACTCTAATGAAGTGCGCATAATTACTATTAAATGGAATCTCATTCTTGTAGAAGTACATGTGCACGTACTTACAAAAAGTAAAGGGTATTGCGGAGAGAGCGACTTCTGATATGCCTGTCCTGCATTTCACAAGACGGCGCAACAGTTCTTGAATCGGCCCCGACCATATCGGATAGGCAAATTGACCAGGGTATGGGAAAAATAAAATACTTTTATTATTATGGGAATAATATCTAATGAAAACCTGATTCTTATTTAAAGGAACTTTTAATAGTTGCCACCTTTGAAAAGAGAAATAAATCTTAATTTTACAGACTTGCAAAAAACTCAAAGCGATTTTGTGATATCTAGTTTTGGTTGCTGAGAGTCTCGACGTGGAGCTTTCGGTCTCAGGCTGAGACCGAAAGCTCCACGCGGGCACGGAAAACGACCGGCGCTCTCGTTTGCAAACTCCATGGCCGTAGATCTTCATTGGGAGAGTCTTCAAGCGGAAATGAGCCCCTGCCCATGATTCGAATGTGGGCATACAAAACCCTGGTACCAGGGGTGTATGGCCGACCAAGCGCTTCCGCCAAAATTCGTACCCGGAGTTCTCGCAGGGAGGTGTTTTCACATGCATCCCTTGGCCAGAGAAAGTGCCCGTCCAATCACCACGATCACTTTGGAGCATGTGCTGCGGTGTATTATCTTGGCTCGCAAGGCATTTCAACACGGTGGAAGTTAAACGCAATAGCAAGAGTGATGGTCCCTCCTTTTTCACCTGCTTTTTGTAAGCTCAAAGCTAAGGGGAGCCGGTGACACTGGCTACGTCGATCCTCGATCTTCGCCTATTGGCTAAAATCGTTTCGTACGTTGAAGACGATTTCATATTGCGAACCAGCACGTCCAAAACGTCGGCATCCTCTTAGGATCGCCCAGCGAGAAGCCATTCCGCAATTTGCCTCGTCGCTATCAGCGAGAGAAGTCCAGACGCAATACACATAGAAACCGCCATGTCGGAGCTCAATGTCAACGCCGCCAACGTCCGCGTGCTGGGCCACGTCTCGGATGCGTTCCGCCGCGTACTCACGCCCGATGCACTACGCTTCCTCGCCTTCCTGCATGAGCAGTTTGAGCCACGACGACATGCACTGTTGGCTGCGCGTGTACAGCGTCAGAAGGAGTTGGATGCCGGTGTGCTGCCGGACTTCCTGCCTGAAACCGCCTACATCCGCGAAGGCGACTGGAAGGTGGCATCTATCCCCGCTGACCTGGCTGACCGCCGCGTCGAGATCACGGGCCCTGTGGACCGCAAGATGGTTATTAACGCGCTTAACTCTGGTTCCAAGTGCTACATGGCCGACTTTGAGGACTCGACGGCCCCCACGTGGTTCAACCAGGTGGACGGCCAGGTAAACCTCATCGATGCAGCGCGCAAGACCATTTCGTACACGCACCCGCAGACAGGCAAGAAGTACGCGCTCAACGACAAGGTGGCAACGCTGCTGGTGCGTCCGCGTGGCTGGCATCTGGACGAGGCCCACGTGCTTGTGAGCAACCAGATCATGTCTGGATCGCTCTTCGACTTTGGCCTCTACTTCTTCCACAACGCACACGAACTGCTGGCGCGTGGCTCGGGTCCGTACTTCTACCTACCCAAACTAGAGCACCACCTAGAAGCCAAGCTGTGGAGCGACGTGTTCGTGGCCGCCCAGAGCTATCTGAGCATTCCGCAGGGTTCCATCCGCGCGACTGTGCTGGTGGAGACCATCGTGGCCGTCTTTCAGATGGACGAGATCCTGTATGAGCTGCGCAACCACTCGTCGGGTCTCAACTGTGGTCGATGGGACTATATCTTCTCGTACATTAAGAAGTTCCGCAACCACCCCAAGTTCGTGGTGCCGGATCGTTCATCAGTTGGTATGACCACACCGTTCATGGCCGCCTACGTCAAGCTGCTCGTCCGCACGTGCCACCGTCGTGGCGCTCACGCTATGGGCGGCATGGCGGCTCAGATCCCCGTCAAGAACGACCCGGAGCTCAACAACAAGTTCATGGCTGCCGTCACGGAGGACAAGTCGCGTGAGGTGACTGCGGGTCACGACGGCACGTGGGTGGCGCATCCGGGTCTCGTCAAGATTGCCATGGACGCGTTCAGCAAGATGTCGGGTCCGAACCAGATCTCGTTCATCCCTGAGGTCGGCAAGGATATCACTGCAGCTCAGCTCATCGAACCCCCGACGGGTGCTATCACGTACAATGGTCTGGTGGAGAATATTGACGTGTCGCTCGTGTACACGGAGGCGTGGCTTCGTGGCAGTGGCTGTATCCCGCTGCATAACAAGATGGAGGACGCTGCTACGGCCGAGATCTCGCGTGCACAAGTCTGGCAATGGATTCGTCACAGCTGTAAGACGGTGGAGGGCAAGACCGTGACGAAGGATTTAGTGCTGGACATCCTGAAGGAGTGTGTCAACAAGCGGTCACTGAATGCCCCTCCGGGCAACAAGTGGGCGCTCGGAGGCGAGATCATGGGCAAGGTGCTGACAGGAGACGACATGGTGGACTTCCTCACGCTGCCGTGCTACCCGCGCATTGTGCAGCTCGGATCGAGCATCTGAAGCTAAGGTCCCATCGCTGCAAAGAGCATCCTGGCATGCCAAGGACGAGCTGACCGAGCGATCCGAGCAGTAGGAATGTTGGGCGGTGGGACTTTTTGGTCATGACACGATGGAGAGACAGAAAAGTATCATTAATAATGCACCACGAAATTATCAAAAGCAACTTGTCGAGTTGTGGCTTATTTCTCAAATTCCTCTTCGTCGTTTTGTGCATCCAGATCTTCGTCACCTTCGTCCACTACGTGCAGAGTTTCTAGAAGCATCCAGCTCTTGTAGATCAGCTCTATATCTTGCAGCTCCTCGGCATTACCGCAACGCAAATTATTCACCTTTTGCCCAAGTCGATATCCCCCGAGCTCTGCCGGCCAGTCTGGATCGTTGCACGGCACCACAAAGCTCTGTGGTACTTGTGAAGTGCCATACAGTTCCTGGTACGTCTGCCTTGCTGGAACAAAGTATCGGTTCCAACGAGCTTCGAGAGCATTCCAGCTAAAGTCCAGAGCTTCCAGATCGTCTAGTTGATACTGTTGCAGCATGTCCTTCTTACGCCGAAGCTCGCTCGTCCAATAGCCCAGTTTGTAGCCCCATGTCGAGCGGGGCCATGCGTCATCTCCTTCAGAAACAGTGAACGATGCTGGGATGAGCAGATCTCCGTGCTTCGATCTGTACGTCTGCATTGCTGGCACTGTCACTTCGTCCCACAAGAAACGTTTCCAGTCCTCAACTTCCGGTACTCCAATTTCCCGAAGTTGTGCTCGAAGTCGGTCTAAGCTCTGTCGTTTCGAGGGTTTCTTAGCTGACGCACAAGCCTTTAAGAACCGCGAGATAGTCGTGCCCAATTTCATTCCGTGGAGTTCTTGTGGCCATTGCTCAGCGCCAGAATTGCGAGTACTCGGCACTGTATAGCGCAGCGGGACGGCGTAGTGACCATGCAGACGCTTAAAAGTCTGCAGCGCGGGCACCAGCACCTCGAATTGACGCTGCTGATGCGCAGCCGAGCGTGTGTTGTACCGCCGGAAGCTCAACCAGCAACTTCGATATACGGACATCGCTGAAATGAGACCAATACAGAGAAGTAGTTTAATGTTCATTTTGATTGAACCATTTCGGTAGTGGTCATTGCTTGTCAAATGTAGGTGGTAGATAGATATCCATACTAGTACCTCTAGCCTTTAATTTTACGGAAGAAATATAATACGAGACAGTCGACCATTCGCTGCGGAGTTTACCTGGAGAGACTTCTGCTGCTAGCGCGTAGAGCATTACTGGAGGTGTATCGGGCTTGGTCGGCTTCTTGACGCGCACGCTCGAACTCTTCCTGTTGCAGTCGACGAGCCTCCAACTCAGCCATACGCAGCTGTTCACGATCTTCAGCCAGAACGAGTTCACGCACAGTGTAGTCATCGATACGGCCGACTTTTTCTATGGGTATGCGATGCTTGAGTCGAGGCAGAAGCCACAGCAACGCGTTCGGGTCACTATACGACTCGTAGAGACGCGGGTCCGACACAGCCTTGACGTTCGAGTACGGATCCAGCATGAAGATGAGGCTTGGGTCCATGCCTACTTCCTCGTAGGCCACGATGTCGGTGGGGCGATTGCCGAAACCAGCCACGAAGACTGGATGCTCGATCACGCGGCCAGCGTGAATAAGCGTGAGTTGCAGCTCGTTTAGTACTTGGATCTTGAAAAGGTGTGGGGTCTTATTGACAACCTCAGTAAACAGTGCACCCGTGAGACCTGTAGAATTTGTGATGAGAACCCCTGGAGGAAGCGAGATCGATTGTTGAACTGCATTCTCCAAGTGCGTTCGTGACGCCGAAGCCCAGTCGAGTGGACGTGCAGTGAGGTATACGATTCGCATCCCCAGTTCGTGCAACTTAGTAAAAAAGTCGCAAGCTCCTGCATGCAGGAAGTCGTACTGGCCAAGACGCAGAGTGCGGATATGGCCTTCCACGTCACTAATTGTAAGCGTGCCATCCAAATCGACCACGACGACCGATTCGTTGGGTCCCCACAGATGCAGCTTCGCATCTACATAGCGGACTGTGTTTGTATACTTCTGGAAGTGCTCAAACCGCACAAGGTTGGGGTGATCCTCGGTCAGATCAGCGAAACACAAATCGTCCGGTGGGATAATCAAGCCGCCTGTAATAAACGTACAGCGGCCACGTTCATGCAACTCCATCTTGGTCGGCATTTCTCTCCCATTGACCAAGATCCTGACCATATCGCCCACACCTGTAGCGTAACTCGTTCGAAAGCGCGACCATGAGAACGACACGTGCCATGAAGTCGTAAGATACTTTCCATCCATATTCTTGACGGCCACAATATCGACAGCGTTGCCTGCCATCTTGTACGTCGGTTCAGAAGCCGGTTGCTGCGTCGGAGCTACCTGCAACGCGTTGCTGTTGGCACGTGGCAATTCTCCTCTGAACGATCCTCCACCCACCGAGTCCGTGGCGGTGCTACTGCTGTCAAGGTGACTGAGTCCTCTCGACGATGATAAGAGCGCCGGCTCCTCAACTTTGTCTGGTTTATCCGTTGACACCGCTGCAGGGAAGAGGTCGTTGTTGACGGGTGATATTGGCTCTGCAGGTTGCACAGGCACCTCTCCAGCGCCTCCTTCTTCCACTGGAGCTGTACTGGCCATGGGCGCGGGTTCCTTCGTGACTGCAGTGGCCACAGAGATGCTGGGACCGACGCCGAAGAGATCGTAGCTCTCGTGGTCGTCGATCTCGCCTGTGGAAACTGATTTTACTGGCATGGGGGGAGGCGTTGGGGGCGGTGGTCCTCCGAAGAGGCTCATAGCCTCGTGGTCGCCGATTGCGCCCGTAGAGGAGGCTTTCACGAGCGGAGAGACCTGGATATTCGAGTCCATTGCTGCTAAATATGAGGCAGGCTCCGTGCAGCTCGCTAAATGCGGCGTAATACTGTACCTCGAGCACACAGCGGAAGTGTACTGGAAGAGCTTACTGAACGGCATGTCGCACTCATGACATTCTCGAGTTTTCGACACCCGGGTTTTGGTAAATTTAAGCTGAAGTGGACGAAACACCAAGCAGAAATACACGTATTAATATTTCATAGCGGAGCTTTAAGTTTACTTCATCGACGACACCATGCGAATGAAGACGAAGATCCGCGTCGCAGTGAGTGGGTGACGGAGGCGCAGGTACAGTGGCAACCAAGAAGCTTTCATCCTGACGGTGTTTGTGTGAAATTGACATGCTTGGAGCTGTACTGCACAAACACTACACGAGACATTGTTATGTGTGTGCAGTACAGCTCCGAGCATGTCAATTTTTGCATCAGATGTTGCTCGAAAAAGACAGCAATGAACGCATCAGAGTCCAATTCGGACAGACAGGCCCTCCGAATTAAAGATTGCATTGCTAATAAACGGAATTATTAATTCGGAATAATTATTACTCGCTTACCGAGGTAGCGGAAAAGATGATCTTCGCCGTCCATTTCGGAACCCGCCAACTGAACCATTTCTTACCCTCTTCTCCTACCCACGCAGAGTGGTGGTGGCCGATCTATCACTCACGACCCAGCCACATGGTCGCCAGGTCCTACCGCCTTTTTCCAATATATCGGGGATCTACGTTCGGCTCTCTGTTGTATTCAAGAAGCAGCAGCTGAATGGGACCCCAGTGGTGGAACTTTTCAGATGCGTCCACTCCAATTTGCTGTCGCGCTTGCCGGGTTCAGGTTTTGTCAGAGGAAATAAAATAATCTATCAAAATTTCGCTGGAGCGCTCAGTTTATCTGAGTACACGCAGTGGCAATAATAATACTATTGCATAAAATCGCCGCAAATAATATGATATTGTTATTGCCCGTGCAATTTAGGATACATGTAGATTATTTAATTTCTTCTGACAAAACCTGGTACTGTACCGCCGCCATGTGAAAATAGATTTCGGATTGAGATACCGTACGTACCGGAACCGGTGGCATTTCACGAATCCGTTTTCATACTTCGGTATAACCAGTATAAACTATTGTAGGTATTTTTCAGTAAAAAAAATCGCTGCCAGTACCTATCACTGGATTATGCATTTGTAAGCTTGCTCCACTCAAAACAAGTTGGTCGATGGATAATGGTGTTTCCACTCGAATACTGGTATCACAGCACATGGAAGCCCTAAGTAACGGGCACAAGAACGCAGTCGATTGACTTGGTTTTGTTGTAGTTTCTTCGATATCCTTGTCAGAGCAGGAGGACATGACTGCTGAGCATGAACTAGTCACCTGTAAAATCACAGGAATACCCTCCGGCGATACGGGAGCACGACGAAAATTACCCCTGTTGTCGATAATCTGGAGCTGCAAGTGCCCCATCGCTCGAACGCCAGAAAAGTAGACATAATCTTCGGTCTCTGGAAGTGCAAACTTTGAAGAGTCCTCAAAGAGGGACACAACTTTCAGGCAATCTGGTTGACACAATGCGCTGCCAACGTTCTTGCGGACAAAATGTTGGTGAACAGCTTCAACGACCGACTTTTGTACAAGCATGTAAAAGTCTGTGTCAGATCGTTCTAACCTCGACACAATTAGTACCATACTACACATACCTTTGTCTCTAGAAAATTATCCAGCGGCAACCGGCATGGGCCGTCTTCTGAATCCTTCCAAGATGAAAAACCATGCAGTCGACGGAGAAATAGGCTTTGAAAGTTATTCAGGTCCTGGCCTTCCGATATATTGCCATTCGATATTGGCAAACGCAAAAGCGAGAGCCAAGACTTTGGAACGCAATTACGACGAAGCACTTCGAAAAGTTGCCACGTATCTGCATCCAGCGCTTGATCCCGAACACCTACCTGTATTATAAAACACAAACGCGCTAGTCAGCATAAAATGGCATACAAACCGTCCACCGAAACGCACCCTTTCCAATCGCTTAATATCCTTCTGAATTGCTGATCGAATTTCTGTAAGCGCACGCCGTTCATGGTTGATAAGCGCTGAGATTGGCTTCTTGTGTTCATTCTCACTATCACTCGCTACGGGCAGTGTGACGCTATCAGTACTTGTGCAGAATTCTGTAAGCGATTCCAGTAACGACAGTGTATCCGAAGGATGTGGTTGAGCCGGCATCAGAGTCGAATTCACCTGGTATCCTCTGTTTGTTACCATTACCGCTAGCTTTGTCGCCATTTCCTTGTGTCGGTCGCTGCGCAAGTTGTGGGGATCCCACAACGTAGTGACGTCTTTAGTTATTTCACTCATAGCTGCCGAATCTTTCAGCATTGGTGGGCTGCGCAACTCACTTTTCCAAAAATATGGAATGGCGCTAACAACAGACATCCAAGGGATGACGGCCAGCTTCTCGATAACCAACACAGCTTCTGGAACGGTCAAGTGAACTGCGGTCATTGTGGTGTCACGTTTACCGTCGCCTTGTAGCGTAGGCCATGCGTTTAGCATGAACGTAATGCAACATTCAATTAGCTGTTTATCGTGGTCAGATTTCAACGTGGACGCGTAGACATTCGTGATAACTCCACGAAGTGTCACCTCGTTCCACGGTGTACTATGCAGTTCTTTAACGAGCATTTCCTTCTCGGTGTCCAGAGCCACCATTGAACGAAGGACCGTGCACAGTTCCGTATCTCCAAACTCTCTGTGTATTTTCCACTGGGCAAACGGGAAATGGTCGCGACAAGAAACAAAGGCGTGGAATACTCCAAACTGTTTTATACATCTCTCCTCCTTCTCGCCCAAAACCGATGCACTAGTCAGTGTGCCCACGGTGCTATTGAGCATGAGCCCATCGAGTTCTTGTTTGAGAATATTAAACGTGTGTTGTAAACTTCGCTTCAGGGAGATACATCCTCTTCCCCATTCTCTGCGAATGGCTCTTTGACTGATGAGCATGCTTTCAAAATGCCTCGTGCATGCAGGTTTATTCCGTATCGATATCCACAGGCGAAAGTCGGAATGAACATTTTTATCCCCGAGCAACTCATAAATACTGTTGAGTTGTTCTAATCGACCGTGACTTGAATGTAAATTGGGAAGTACAATCCATTGACCTTTCTCCATAGCCAACAGAACTAGTTTCTTGAAATCAGCTTCGTCGGAAAGTAATAGCTGGATAGTGTCACCTGTATCTATGGTCGCACCAGCACGTCTCGCCACATTTGCTACAGCACCCACAAAGTCAATCGTTGGAGGGCACGGCACGACGATGGGCGTCCTGGCACTTGAAAACGACTGCCACATGTAGTACAGATCTCTAAGTCGATCCGGGGCAGAGTGAGCTGCTGCGGCCACCAACGTGGGTAGCGAAGGAGCGCTCGTTTCCGTCACAGTTAGTGAGCAGAATGTCGCTGTGACTGGTGCCAAGTGAATTCGTTTTAGCTCGCGCTCGGCAAAATCTTCCAGCTCGCCCAGAAATCTTTGTGGATGAACAGCTACCACGATACATAAACGCATAAACACATCAAGAGGAACTGGAGTGTTCCATTCACTTGACATCATTGTGTCTTGTTCAAACAGCAATTGCCATGCGGTCTGACCGCTTTCCATGCTCTGCATCGTTGATATAAACTGTCGAAGGGTTCCTGACGCTTCTGCCAGGTAGCACACTACAGACCAAGCCTTCGCTTTCACACCTGTTGGGCGAAGCGCAAGTAAACTTTTCATGGTTGGTCTACAGGGATCCCGATCGGATTGGGGCCCAACTAACGACAGCAACCGAACAAGTAGCTCAACGTTCGTTGAGAGTCGGGTTCGAAAGGTAATTTCAGATGGCACTGCGACAACATCAGGTCCCAATAAGCGGTCGTCCATACGTCGCTGCCATATACGAAATGCCAGTAGAAACCTGAAAAGCAGGCATTCTTCATCTCGAAGATTCATACTGACATACTGCTGCAGACAACCAGTAAAACAGGCCATGACTTCTTCCAAATTGGTGTCGTTCTTGTTGCTCAATTCACCAGCTCGGACCAACAGTTGCCACACCCGTGAAAGCGGAAGCAGCTTCTCAGTACAAGCAAAATCTCTGTTATCCAGGAAATTGAACTCGCGCCAAGCCCATACACCATCCAAACATCGCCTGGCAACAGCAGCATAGCTCTTCAGACTATCCCAGTGTGTTTGTATCGTTGCCATGGCTTCCGTTTTGGTGCTTTGCAGTGTGTTAACAGCCCTTCGGTTGGCGATAATTCGGAGAGCTTTCGAGTTATCGGAGTAAACCACTTCGGTCTTTTCAGTGTTGAAGAACTCTAGCAGCTCTTCTTCCAAACCATAAATCTGTTCGTCACAGATCACCATTTCTTGTTGCAACGTTCGGATCTCCGTCACTTCTCGAAGTCGTCCTTGAGACTCCAGAACTTTGTGCAGAGCTTGCGATTCCACGAATGAGGCTGTCAGCTCAAACTGAATTACTGTAAGCTGGCTCAGATATTTGGACATCCACTCTGGAATAACGTTGGAGTCTGTGTAGACAAAAAAAACTCTACACGCGTCACTGCTGAACTCAAAAGCTGGCGTTTCTACCGCATCAGTCTCCTCCGTCGGATCTTCAGGAGGGTAACACCAACAGCGGTATCCGCTACCATTACGGCTAACAGTAATATCACGGTTAACAGCATCAAACATAGCTCTTCGTTTTGACTCGACGAACGAATGCAAGCCTTGTAAGCGATCTTCGCAGATATCCATAATAATTAGAGACGTCTGCTGTTTAATGCTTGTAGCCACTTCCTTCCAAACCCCTGCGTTAGTCGTAGTATTGTTGCCTGATGCAACAGCAACCTTCCCAGCACCTAGCTGTTTTTTCAGCCAGTCGGAAGCCACGCCATATGGATCAATGAGAAGTGGCGAACGATAGCAGTTCAATGCAATCACTGCGCTCTCTAGTGTACTCTCGTCATCCACCTGTACGCCGTTCAAATTCATCTTGGCAAGTTCTGACTCTCCGATTCGGAAGATTTCATGTAGAGGTCGATGCAGAGACGAAGGAGTCAATGAATACGGCGCTACAGCTTCAGTCCAGAGCCGGTGAAGCTGTAAGCGTACCGAGTAATTAAGACACGAAGCATAAGATACCACTGCTGTAGCTAGCAGCAGGTCACCTTTCCAGTGTTCTGCCAATTCAGTATACGCGTCATACCGCTGCTGCCACTTCTCTCGCGTTGAAAACAAAACCTTCCAAGCTGCACTTGTCAGCTGCAGTTGTGACGTCGTGTCATGCAACTTCTCGTCTGCGCGTTGTCGCTCCTGCTCTGATAAATCTCGTTGTGCACCAGCTTGTTGAGCTGATGTACTTTGGTTGTAAATCTCCACTTTGGTCTTGTCAACTCGCTTTTCTGCCTCTTTGAGTAGCTCTTTTTCACGTTCCAGTTGAGCTTGTTTTGGTAACGCTAGCACGAAGTCTCGAGCAAACGCGGTACATTTCTGGACCCATTCACACAGGACACCAGCAACCTCGTGAACGGACGCAAATAAATCTTTATCAAAGTCAGGTGACCGACAAATCGGAAGCAAAACACTCAGCATCTTTTCCGTGACATCTCGAGCGTCAAAAGTCGATAGCGTTTTCCAGAATGCGGTAGAATTGACTTGCATAGCGACATTTGCCCAGTAGTTCATGATAGTCTCGTCTGGGTCCATTTCATCACGTCCTTCTACTGGTTCGAAGCCCAATATCACGCCAATACATTCTGACAGCTGATAAATGGAAGAAGGTATCCGATTCAACGATGCAAACTCACGGATTTGCCGATGAAGACGCCGCCTGGCAACCATTTCAGTATCCACCTCATTGACACTACCGGTATTGCCTTTTCCGACCTCAATGCCATCCGTAGCAATATTCTCTCCATCGACATCCTCGTCTTCACAAGCTTCGTGGAATTTTTGCAGTGAGCTTTTGATTTGATCAAACGCATCCCGAGAGTCTTTAATCAAGTTGTGATATTCTTGAGTAACCATAGCAAGTCGCTCACGTTGAGCGACAGCCAGAGTCGTTGCCAGCTCCAGCGCTCTGGTGACTTTGTCCGTCGCAATTCGCTCTCTTTCCCAGCTGCCAGACATCCGTCGTCGCAATTCTGTCTTCTCGAGCATTTCTGGAAGTAACAGATCGGCTTGCGTCTGCTCTGTTTTCAGGATTTGGGCGGTTTGGTCAATGAATTCCAGACCCGCTTTAAAGCGAGCCATGTTTGAAGAAACCGTGCCGTGCACCTGGTCGTAATGTGAAGTAAACAGACTCAAGTGATCCATAAGCATACTTGGCTGCAGCGACACGAATGGGGATATAGTACTGACCCACAACGGCGTAGTGTTCAAACTCTCTTCGCTGTCACTCTTGTGATTAACAAGAGTTTTGGTGGTTGCTTGTGTGCGTTGGTCTTCCAGAAAACGACACGTAGCCTCGTATACCTGAACAGCAGCCTCCGAATACTTCATGGCACTCAATGCATCTGTAGCAACTGTGGACTGTTTTAGGCTTTTTCGTGCCATCGTTACTAGGTCGTCCGTTGACCATGGTCCAGCGTAGTTGACGTCGCAGCATTTCAGAATATTCGGGAATCGCCACAGTATCGACGTCCAATTCTTAGGCTCAGTTAATGAAAGAACGAGCACCAACTGAAGCTTTTGTCTGACGCACTGAAAGAAATAATCAAGTAGCGCACTTTTTGATCGATGCATGGGGGGTGTTTGATGAAGAGTAGTCACGGATTTTCGACTGTTAGACCGAGTCACTTGAGCAGGGCTCTGCTCTCTTTCGCGCAAAACAGCAAGAATTTCTTCATCGAGATGTTCGTACGCGATGACGTCGGGAGGCAAGTTGTGACCTCCTAGAAATTTATCGATAATTCGATAAGGATAAGCGTCTGGATGCAGATAGTTGTCTTTCACTATAAAAACTAGCGACGTGTCGCGAGCCCGAATACTTTTCAACATCGCAGTTCTAAAAGTTGCATTCCACTTGCTACGATCAGTCATCTCTTCATTCGGTCGACCAAGGTCGCCAGGGATACGATAAATAGCTGAGACCCTTTTACAAATGAAACATGCCAAACGTGTGATCGTGACCAGTTTTCTTCCAGATGCGCCCAGTAAGAGCACTGCTTTCGTGCCCATTCGTAGTAATCGACTCAAGCGCAAGATATGCTTGATAACGTAAGTGCACATAGTTATCTCCATCGATTCAGGTGAACTGGAGGTTGAGCTGGTCATCGCCATCATACTACGTTCAACCAGAAGTTCGAGCTTCGGTATATCAGTTACCTCGTGATAGCCGTGTCTATAGACACCAGTAGGACTGTCCCCCATGTACGAAAAATACAGGTCATTCGCAAACCAATTCTGGGCGATACTCTGATCTTGAAGATCTTGAGTGTCGAAACGCGCTGGGAAAAATGCTTCAGTTGCAACCCCAAACGTGGCTAACGCAATGTCGATAGTGTGTTGGTGAAAACTAAGCGACTCCTTCGAATCGATGATGTTGTCTCCGAATACACGCGCACTTTCATGGCACCATAATCGAGACAGTGCTGGTTTCTCTGCAGGGGATAGTGAAGGTCGAATCTCGCAGCAAATAGTTGTAACAAGCCGAAAGAGCTGTGCTACGCGGAAGTTATAGTGCAGCTTGACTGGGTTGAACGTTGCTTTCTTCGAAAAGATACTGACGTCGTTGCTTGAAGTCAGTAGTCGGTACAACTTCAAGCTGGCTTTCACAACAATGGACAGAAGGTTCTCCGAATCTTTGACGGTAGCTGTATGTGTACCTTTCCCTGAAGATGTAAATGGTGTTCCTGGTGGTTGCGATAATGTTGTGTTCGAGTGTGAGATACTTTCACAAATAGAGGTGAGGTCCGAATCCGAAAAAGGGAGCAACCCAATCGGAATAAATCTGTGTAGTAGGCGTCCAATATCATCGGACCGAGTGTGACTGCGTTCGACACTTGGAGTCGGTAGTTGCAGTGTCGCGAACGGGACAACGTGCTTGCATTTTGTCACCAAGCTTGTAACAGGATCAACGACAGTTTGATACTCCGCCAGCATACGGAACAATTCAAGTGACGAGTCCATTCTGCGATTTGGATCGAAGCACTGCAAATCATCAACAAACACGAGCACAGTATTCTTCGAATTGGGAATCGAGGCGGTATCCGGACCTTCCAAATATGAGGCGGTATCCCGTTTCTTGCATCCTTGGCGCTCGATCCGAATTCGTTGAAGAGCAGTCTCCAAATAGAACAACACGTCGCTAGCACCGGTATAGTAACCGGAGTAGATTTTTTCAACCGAAGTAGACGCACAAATCAGCGCTTGATTCGAAGATGTAGCACCCATTTTTCCTTGTTCGCTTTCTGACAATACAGAAACACTCGAGCCCAGTTTCTCGCTAGTACTCAATAAACTCCAAGCAAATCCGCATGCTGTCTTCCCGCAATCCTTAGGACCGATAAGAAGCGCAGGGTAGTTCGCCAAGAGCAACTGGCCAGACAGACAAATCGCTGATGAACTCGTTCCAGTGGGGACTACGAGTCGGTTTAACCTCGAAGAAAACGAATAATTGCATCCAGTCACAGACCCGCTTTCTCCTAAAGTGCTTGGTCCTCTGAATGCAGCTCCCAGTAATGTTTCTGACCAGCGGGTATAATACTCAGGCCACAGCAACCATTTAGATCCAAATTCTAACGAGAATCCGTAGTCGTACATCGTCTGCTTCGGGGAAATTGCTCCTCCGTTTCCAAGTTTTGAGACAGTGTTACTCTTACTTCCATCGACATTGCTTGAGACACTTCCGACCAGAATGCCAGTCGGAAAGAATAACAGCACCAACCGTTTTAATGTGGACTGCTCGTTGTTCGGGCCATGAAGAATGAAGTCGTACAAGAAAACATGAAATTTCCGACGCTCCTCCACGTCTGTAGTACTCCCGACACCCCACACAAGTGCTTGCAGAAATAAGCAATGAACAGCAGTGTTGCGCTGTTTTTCACTCGTCAGCGAGCAAAACTTCTTCCATGATTGGTTCAACGAACTGTGGAAAAAGGCAAGCATCCACTGAACTCGCTCCATTCCTTGACCAATGTTGGTGTAGTTCTGAAAATTAACGTCAACAAACTCCAGTGTAACTGGGACAAGTTCGGACACTAGCGTATCAAGTATGCCGAAGATGAGTCCCCCATACTTTTCGAACTCTGCCTTTCGTAGTATTTTCCAAACTGCGTACACATTTTCCCACTTTTGGCTGACTTCACACCCACCCACGTGTACCACGCCGATACGAGAAAGAAAGGATGGTGATGCGTTCGTTAGTGTTGTTGTCTCCATTACAACGTGAACATAATGAGGAACGACCAAAACCTTTCCCGATGACAGTCGCAAGCCTTTCCGGTATCCCGGAATATCGTCCTGAAGTTCTTCGACAGTATAAAGCAGTTGCTCACTCCACAAGGGATCGAGGTCACCATCGAAAACAAGCCACGTTTGGGTACGCTTGTCTGTCCTATGCAATGTCTTCGCTTCCTGCAGTAGCTTAAACAGTACGCTACGTGATTGATCTTCCGCTTCGACGGAGAGCAGTTGGTCCAGCTGAAGAGCTCGAGGGCACACAACAACACACCGCGTTGGGGCTACTAATGTAGGTTCGATTGCCTTGCCAACGCTCATCTTCCGAGCACTTATCCGGTCGACACCAATTGTCTTTGAGATTTCAGAAAGGGCGCGAGAGAGCGAAGTGTACAAACTCGTCTTCCCCACCTGAGACGCACCGGACAGAACAACCGCGCGACTAGTTTTCATCACTTGCAGAAGTTGAATTGTTTTCATGCCAAACTCCACTCCAAAATGCTTCCAGAATTCATCTGTGCGAATATAATTCCCCACGTCACGTTCAAGACAACGTCGAGCTCCATCTAATCGTGTGGTTTCCTGTGTCTCGTGATTCCATGGATATTGATTGTTGCTGAGAAAATCTGAATGGAAATCTCGTAGGACTGCGTTAATTAGGTGGAGATACGCTGCTGGTACAACCGAACCGATACATTCTTGAATAGCCAGAAAAACACATTGGTGCTCCACCACTTCTTCATCTCGTTTCGCGATAGCCTCGGCAGTAGTATCGTTTGGAATAGGTTCTTGTGTTGCTGACACTTCTTCATGTTCTTCATCTGAGATCAAAAGGCTTCGTCGAGTACGTCTACGATGCTCTTTCTCAGCATCATTTAGTTCCGCTGCGCGAATAACCACATTCTTGACCACTCGTAAGTTAGCAAGTCGAGATCCGAGGATGTTTGTTTCATTCGTTGTCGCGGATGGGTGGTTCATCATCTCAAATCCACGTTCAAATGATCTCAGAGCGACAGTCAAAAGCTTGGCTAGCTCTGATGCATGCACAAATCTTGCGTTTTGAAACTCGAACTCGGCTAGCTTTTCGATATCTGGTGACTGCACGACAATGGTTCGAAAGAAGAACCGCGCTTCTTGCACTAACTGTTCGTTCCCGGATGCTCCGTGTCCTGTTGTTAGCGTCAGAAAGAATAGAGCTCCACGACGTAGACGTACTCGGTCACCAACAAGAGTGCACTGCGCGTGTCTTGCAGCGAGACCATTCATGACTTGTGCACATAGCATCTTTATCAAGGACACGTTTACTGCATTTAACAGCTGGAAATTGTCAATACAGAGCCATGCTCCGGAGGAAGCAGTAGCCTTGACGTAGTTGACCAGCTCGTTAAATACCAGCTTTTTGTTAGCGCACTGAAACGTGACGTAGAGCCGACCACACAAACGAGCTAATTGATGACAGATCGTGGACTTCCCAGTACCAGCAGTACCCTCCAAGCATACTCCTTTAGTCATCGTGCTAACTGCTTGAGCGACAGCATGATAACAGCGCAGCGTGAGTGGCGTTACCAGCATCCCACTTGACCCATTTCCTAAGTATTCAAGCCCGTAAGGTAGATACGACGAAGTCATCATCGTGACACTCAGTACGCTGTCAATGAAATAAAAGCGTGGCTGTGCTGCCCAGCATAAACTTGGCGAGAAATGGGGAAACGTGTGTCGCTCACTCTTTTTCTCATCACTTTCTTCCACCCACATGCCGCCAACGTCTGCCAGTGCGCTAGCGCTGACATCGCGAAGCTGCGTCAGCAACAGTATAGTATTCGCTAGTGCCACTTTCGCGTGTGGATATGCCGTCACTCTCATCTCTTTCCACACTGCGTCAGTATTCTGGAGTATTTTTTCCGTAATTTCAGTCCATGCTTTTCTCTGGTTAGCATTTTGGTAAGCTTGCTCCGACTCGAGTGTCCACGTGTGCTGAATTGCTACAAGCAGCGATTGTTCAGGCCAAACCAAACACCATTTTCGAAATTCTTTACGTGGGAGATCACTGCAAGCCGCCCGAATGGATGCATGTAGGATTGTTGTCATCGAAGTCTCAAGTTTTGTCAGCCATGTCGGCATTGATGTGTCTTTTGTGGTGATCGCCGAGCCAAGAGGAAAAGGTTCGCCGACTGAACTGAGCAGTGCTGTGATTTCATTCGCAGGATTTGTTTGAACACTGTGGATGCCAGGGAAGCACCGAGATAGCGCTTTCCAGAGCGACACATCACTCGGAACCTCTGCAAGAGCCAACGCAGTCACCAGTTCAAGATCCGAAAGGTAGTAGAACCGGGAGAAACTCGCTTGTTTGCTTTCGAATCCGACTCGGACATCTGCTCGCACGGTTTCCAGAATCTCATGGCACTCTTCTAAGTCGGATATCAAGCTTGTAGCTGGGGATTTCGGAGTTTGATCTAGATCCACCGTTGTGTTTGATTGCTGACAATATTCTGCACAAGCTGGATTGCGGAGTATAGTAGCATGACTTGATTGGTATAGCTTTGCCGCGCTGACAAAGAGCCGAGATGACTTGGAATCATTCTCAACAATTCCAGCCGCAAACAGAGGAGTTATTCTGCGCCACCGGTGCTCGACAAGTACCAGCATTTCAACAATTTGCCCCATTTCGGATGCAAATGTTTGCCAGAAGGCGATTTCCTCGATGAACGGCCCGGCATGGGCCATACAGGATAGTGATTGCAGCCGTAAGAGGTGGTCTTCCATAAGAGAAACAATTTGCTCTCCACAGTCTTTCTCCAGTACGATATTAACTGTTTCAGGTTCGCCATTATCTGTCGACAATATTGGAGCTAGTGCCGTGCTTACAGTAATGGGGTGTCTCGAGGGTACGAGGTTGAAGCTGATTGCCTCCCACTCATCCCTTATTTCATGTAGAGCTCGTTCAATCTGCTGCTCTTGCGTTGCATTGCAGCTGATATCGACGATATCACCGATCCTTTCAAACACTCCGTTCTCCAGCAATTTCAATAAAGTGATCGCTTCTTCTGAAGTAAAATCTATCCCGATCAGTCCCGACACCGCTTTCATGTGTCGTTCTTTCATTGCTGGATTCTGAATCGCCACTAAAAATCGGACGTTCTCACGAAAGTCTGTCATCTGCTTCCGAACAGCCTCGGCAGTGATCGCAGCCGCAGCCGAATTCAGAATCAAAACACTGGACACGTCGGAGACGACTGTAAGCATTTGTTGCAGGGTTTGCATCCCTTCGTTTCCTGGTAGCTCGAATACGTTTCCACGTAGCCATTTCGAGTTCATCTCTCGAAACTCCCTCACAGTCTTCCATAGTCGTTCGTACGGGGCCATTTCTTCGGCAATGTCATCCAATTTACCAAAGTCTGTAGGCTTCCACTGAAGTTTCTGCTCTTCCTGAATAATAGTGGTCATAGCTTGCCGAAAGTTGACTATGTTGTCTTGCATCTTTGCAAGCTGGACGACGTAAGTGGCGGCGTGTCGTAGGTCTCCTTTCTTCGCAAACCCTCGGACTTCACCTTCAAATTCCTCAATTTCAGCTTGGAATCGAGATCGTTTTGCGATAAACATGGACTCGATTCGGGACCGCTCGTTTACGAGCTGAGACTCGGCTTCTACCAGTAATTTATCGATGTGACTTCTCCAATTGAGCGTCTTTGCAGTTGATGAGAGAAGATCCAACGACAGGCGGAAGTCCTTATGTTCACTGTCTATTGATTCCAGCGACGGGTCAGCCGTAACATTGCCAATATGAGTGTTTTCTCGCTCGAAGAGCAGGAATCGGAGTCGTTGCTTGATAACGTTACCCTTTTCTTGAAGCTTCTGAAGCTTCTCTGACTTCAGAGACTTCACGAAAGCCTCGCCATCCACGAGCTCATACAAATCTAACGGTGTCTTGGCGAGTCGAGCGGCGATCTCCTTGTATTGTTGGCGTAATTCCGCATTCATTCGACCGGTTCTTTGCTCAAACGCTTGAAGCAGGCGAATCGTCCATCGAGCGAGATCTGTATGCAATCTCGTATTCACATGTCGGCAATCCACTGAGAACAAACCAAGATGCTGAGAGTGTCTGTTGTCAATGGCAAGTCTCAAAGCGGTCGTCTGAACACGCTCCATCTCCGCTCGATACGTTTCCAGCTCGCTATTTTCTTCCAGATGGAAACAATCAACAGAATTCACGTAGCGGTGCGTCAACGCGAACATGTCATAGTCAGTCTGCAGCTTCCGCAAGTACGACAGGTTTTGTTCAATGATCGCTCGAATTCTGATCGTCGCAACGACAATGTCATCCTCCTGTGCAACGACATTCCACAAAAAAGGCGATGAAGTAGCCGACAAGAGAATTGGTTCTTCAAACTGCGTCTCAATACGACCAAGATTGGTAAATAACTTGGGTATGTTGTGAAGGACGTTCAACAAGCGACTTGGAATGTCCACCAGAGGATCTCGAAACTATTTTCGACAACCGAACACACACATTTGTCAGTAGCATTCTTCTGTACAGTACTATAAAATAAGCAAGGTAACTTTTTAGCAATGCATGTCGTACTTGGATTTGGTCACCGAGCAGCACCAGCGTCATCAGTAAACCAGGGCGTGTCGGTCTTGCCTCGTAGTGGACGTTGTCGTCGCTATCTTGACTTTCATTCACCACCCCAAACCGCTCGAAAAAATTGACGTATGCTTGAACAGACTTCATGATAAGCGAGCGAATTTGCAAAGACATAACTGCAGATACTGTGTCGAACAAGTGTCGTAGTCGGAAACTCACTGCTGCCTCTGACGTATGAATAGAGAACGTCTCGGCTTGAATAGCGCTTTCAAACATCATCTTCGCTTTCATGTACCAGTTCTCCATTACAAACGCTTTCGCCTTAGCCGAGAAAGCCAGTTGGGTTCGTTCAAATTGAATAATGTCCATAGGTTCCATACCGTTGAGATCTTCGCCACTTGGAAGGTCTACCAGAGTAATTGAAGCAAACATTTCATGCCACATGTAGCGAAGAGCTCGAACTTGCGGGTTCGAAAAGATCAGCAGCGACATCAACTTGGACTGTGCACGCTTCCGTCGAGCTGCTTTGCCGTATGACAATTCCGATCGAGCAACGCGATCAGTTATTCTGACGCGATTCATGAGCTGTGACCGGCTTCGGCGTCTTACTAGGGTCTTCAGATCCGCAATGCAGCCATTTGGCCCATCACTGCTGCCCCACTTCCACTTTATAGGCAGAAGAGCATGAGCCGGTGCTCCTTGTGGGATTTCTAGTCGCTCACAAGACTCTGCACGCATCAGCATATAATTCAGAATGGCTTTCTTGGCGCTGGTGTAGTAGTTGTCCACAAACTCTTGGTGTGCCACCTCCAAAACCGTCTCGAGCCGATCACTAGATGGGCCAGTAATGTACTTCACAGCAGCGGCCACGACTCTCGATTCCAGATCAGCCGGAAGAGGAGCAAGGTTACTGCGGTCGAAGAACTTGTCGTCGGCCAAATACTCAAAATATCGTTGTTCAGGTGTTGCGTTTTGGAGCAGCTCTTTCCTCTGCCTTCGAAAGGAGCGGCCGGAAAAACTCGGTTGTTCAATGAAAACTACACCTCCAGAGTGATGCGTTAGTTGTCCATACTGAGACGCAGACTTCTCTGTCATCAGCAACGCTGCTGCCGGCATAAAGTTAGATCCGATGCGATTCGACGGGAGCAAATACGACACGTTCTGGTCAGGTTCGACAAAGAGTGTGCGGCTTAGCCGATCGAATAGCTGTGGTGTCGTCGAGGTCTCCTCTCCCTCCTGCTTGGTAAGTGTATACGTCGTTTCTGCTTCATTTCTGTCATCGGTCGGTGCTGATTCTGTAGTCACAGACGCATTGATACGACTAATTCGTGGACTTGGTGATCGATGATATTGATGATGAAGCTGAGTTGGGCGAGGAGAAGCTTTGCTATCCGATGTGGCCACTACAGAATGAAACGTCGGTCGTCGAGGATTCGGTGGGCCAAATGAAAAATCTGGTACGTCCTTAGACCGGTCAAGCACAGGATTAAGCTGGATCGATGACGAGAAAGTGGATCCTGACAGGAAAGAGTACCTGGAGACAAATGCACAACGCCATTAGCATTCAACCTTGCATACTCTACACTACTCTCGATCTTTACTTGGTCGGAGGTGTTGGAGTAGTTTGAAGAGCTGCTTGGGCGAGCAACTTCCGCTTCACGACACTTTCTCCTGTCCGGATTTCGTAGTCCAGTCGTGGGGGCGGGCGCTATGAAGGTTAATGCACGCAACAAGCCTTTAGTTTACATCATAAAAGCTTGCTGCGAGTGCGTCTCCTACCGAGTCACGCGAAAGTAGATGACGCTGAATGACACAGTCACCACATACGATCACCCCAACACCAATGTTCAGCTCTACCTGGTAAAGAAGAACAGTGGCCAACGTTAATACTCAGATATGCGTGCTACTGGTCCCTTGGCGTGCTTACCCTATCGCATTGACTCATTGCGTTGCCCAGCTTGTTGATGACCGCATGCAGCCATTCCTGTGCTCGTTTTAAATCAACTGCGTTCCCACAGCATGCAGCCATTTCCACAAAACTGAAAGCAAATACGTCACCCAGTCCAACAACGCTAGGTGCTCTGCTAATGCTTTCAGTGGATGCCAACGCATCCGAATTAGAGCCTGTCGATGATAGCGTAGCGAGTGCTGGATCAGGCATTTCTGAGTCCACTTGAAGGCAAAACTTGCGGAGGAATTGCTTGTCGGGCTCTGCAAGTAGCAAAACACAAATCAGAAACAAGCACTGAAAAGAAAATAGCCATGGCATCGCTCCATTAATTACCGAAAAAGGTGATGCGGATGCCTAAGGATTGGACTCGCAGATAAAATGTCCCGAACCCTGGAATCGAAGCAGGCACTTCCATCGCAAGCTACAAACACAGCCGAAATCGTCAGCTACAACACAAACAAGTTAAGATTAATGCCGTACGGTACCTGCGTCTTGACCCAGTCGCACAAGAATTTCCACACTAGCCAACGCTCGTTTGTCGTCATAGGGACCGCCATCATGAGCGCCTGTGGGGTCTTCTGCAGGAACCTCGACTTCTGCAGACTCTGTGCTGGGAGGATGGCGTTTGCATCTCTTGGATACACCGGCGGGAGTGTGGTCGACGGTCCTGCTACAGCAGCTACTGCTCTACGAGCATCCGAGTTTTCATCTCGTCTGGAGTAGCCACGTGGGGATAGAGCTGCAAATATTGCCGACTCTCGCACGATTTCTTTGTTCAGAGCTTCCATAGCATCTACATGTATACAACAAGAAGACAGCAGCAGCAAAGTCAAGAGCACAATGGTAAGTGACCTTTCAAGTGTATTTTGGCGGTCAGACCCTTGAGCTGCAGGTATCTTTGTCTGTCGTTACATAAGGTATCCTTCAGTCTGTGCGAGCGCTTGCGCCGAGCGCTTAGCGTCATTAAAGAGGTCATTCGTCTCGTCAATGTCGTCCACCGATACTTCAGAACGACCTTGCGTCTCTGCGAGGATCCGGGACGGTGTCAGTAGCTGCACACTGTATCGCAGCGACGTCTGTGACCCAATCTCGCCCAATCGCACAATAGCGTCTTCCATGAGCTTGATGCTTTCGGCCTCAGCGCGGATCTTGATAATCTGCACCATTTCCTCCACCGAGTACGGCATTGTGCGGATAATAAGCATGCGGTCCAGTAGATCAAGCGGAACGCCGTGAGGAGACGAAATGTCGGTGCCGCGGATCTGGCAGACGCCGCGGTTCGTGGCGAACACGACAATCGGAGCTAGTGTCGACTCTAGAGCACGGTTTAGGTACGTGAAACACTCGATGTCCAGCATGTGAACCTACGAGAACAATCACCACTTAGATATCAACAGACTAGACTCGTACTTTCCATAAAACCTCACCTCGTCCACGAACAGCACACCAGGCACCAGTTCGGCCACACCCTGGTCGATATATCTGTTGACGACCTTGTTGATCTCCGTTCGCAGCTTCTCGGTGATCTCCGTCTTCTTTGGCTTCATCATTTGCCCCATCATGGACATGATATCCTGTCCGCCTTGCGGTCGCGCATTGGCAATGTCCAGATCGTGCAGCGTCACGTCCTGGATCAGTTCCTTCTTCTTGTGCACGTCGCCCTTAGGGATGGGCACATATTCCTCCGCCTCGAGGTCGTACTCGGTAGCATAGGCATCCGATCGTCCAACGCGCTTGACACTACCGTTGTTGGCCTCAATGTAAATGACGTCGCCCACTGAGACCTTCTCCTTCTGCAGAGACTCGTAGATACTGGGGTCCAGTCGCAGCTGCTTGGAGCCCTTCGTGGTCTTAAGACCCACAATTACATGCGAGATTGTCTTACCGTATCCTCCAAGTGGGTTCTCCGTCTCCTCGGGCGTCATTTCCGTTACTTCACCTTCGTAGACTTCCTTGCTCTCCTTAATGCGGAGTCCAATGGCGCGACGAAAGTTTTCCATCAGAATCTCCGTCTTTTTTACTTCAGACGAGTACACCTCGGAGCCCACCATGGGGCAGAACGGCACTTTAGGTCCCAGTTCTTGCGAAATACCAAGCGCCACGGCTGTTTTGCCAGTTCCGGGAGCCCCTGCTAGCAGCAATGCGCGACCGGCCATCTTCTTGGACTTGATGAGTTCTACGACAAGCCCAGCGGCCTCTCGTGCTTTCTCCTGGCCCACAAGACCCGATCCAATGGGAAACGCTGTGCCATCTGCCTCCAATCCTAGTCCCTTCACGTGCGTGTGCGACGCAATGCGCTGCGCCTTGGCTGTGGACTGTACTTCCTCGATCTTCATGGCAAACGCTTGCGGTTTCCGATCTAATGGTCGCGAACCCGATCCTAAAATATTTCTAAATGAACGCAATTTCTAAGTTTGTAAACCTTTATGATAATATATGCTAAAAAGCAACTTTTTAAGTGTTTACTTAATGAAAGCAAATTTTCAAAGCATGTATACCTTTATAGAAAATCGGTATTTTACGGAAACAGATCATATTTGGGTGTCAACCTACCGGTACCAAATGCTGCGTCCTTTGTTCGGCGGCGCGCTGAGCTGCGAGATCCCTGAGGGCTTTGTGGACGTGAGCTCATTCCGACAGGTGCCCGACAATCAAGAGGTGTTCGCCAATGCAGCCATAGACCAGTGCATTATTGTGGAGCTGCTGCAGTACGAGGAGAGCGTGACGGATGCTCAGAGCGCGCGCTACTTTTTCAACGAGGTCGCCCAATCCAACGGATGTGGGCCCGACGAGGTGATGGTGCTACTTGAAGAAAAGGCGGGAGCCGAGAATGCACCCACTAACGTCGACGCGCCGCACGTTACGCAGCTTATCGTGGGGGACCAGCGCGTGGCCAAGTTTAAGGAGGGTGATCATGCCAAAAACGTGGTACGCGTTTATCTGGGTAACATCCGGCTGCCTGGCGTGACCACGGACGTGGTGCTGTCGATGTCAGCGCCCATGCGTATTAACCCAGCCAGCAGCAGTCGTGATGCCTTCCAATTTGAAAACAACTCAGAGGTGGCTGCCGCCATATTTAAACAGGCGCTGCAGTCTTTCGCCGTCTTGGACTGGTCGCTGTTTCAGTGACGGACGGAATCGTTAGATGATGCTGAGATGGTTGTGTGATAGGAAAGTCACGATTTTCACGGTGAATTAACGCTGTTAAACTTTAGAATAGGATCATCGGATCGTTTGATAGCGCTATAGCTGAGTGCTTGATAACACGACGAGGAAGTACTCACTTTAGCAGCGTCGGCGCTGCATTTCATTATACGACTTTCTTCAGTAGTTACGGCCTGACGGGTTTGTTGTCACAGCCGTTGCCGCCTGCAATGACAAGACAGGATGTATTCGGGAAGATACTCAACAGACTCGTTGTGATCGTCCACAGTAGAGCAAACATGAGATACAAGACGGTCACAACGCCCATGAAATAGCTGGAGCCGCCCAGTTGCTTCATGGCGCGCGTCTGCTCTTTCTGGCGCGGTAGCATCACTAAAAAGAAGAGCGAGCACAAGTTGGCCGTCCACATGATGAGCACCGTCATGGTCATGTCGGTTCTTACACTGGTGGCATCGTTTTGAATCCGTTCTGTGGTCAGATTAAACAAACTGTCCACGTTGCGGGTGATGGTGGTCGCAAATGGAATGGCGAGATTGTATACCGTCGTGAGCAGGCCGTACATGGCGCCTTCATGTCCCTCAGTGGCAAGCTCCACAATGATGAATGAACTCACAATAAAGATCACGCCCAGTGGAATCTGCTCAAGAATAGGAATTCCGAGCCAGAAGTATGGCGAGCGAGCGATATTCCAGATTGTCAACAGCTTTACGAATGCATCCAAACAGACATAGCACACCATTGTCACCGCTGCCGTACGACGCCAGTCCCAGCTGCGTCCATAGTTGCCAGCATAATAAATGGATGTAGCGTACATGGCAGTCGATAAGAGTCCACCCACTTTTTCCTGAATGGGCGAGACGTCCGCCCAATTTCTCATGACCGGGTTTTTGGACAAATACGTGAACGACGCGAAAATGCCCGAGAAAAACTGGTAAGCGATGTACTGGTACACGGCACGCGTCTTGATAATATCCCAAAGTGTGTGCATGTAGTGGTTAAAGTTCATAGCGAAAGCGTTCTTCTCCTCGTGAAGGAAGAACCAGGTAACCGGCACGATCGGCGCAAGCACAATAGTCACAATCAGCATGAGCATGGGGAATGACAGCGAGAAGTCAAAATCGCCGCCATATTCCTCGCCATTGAAACAGAATCCCAAGAGGATATACGCCAGCATGTTGAATACAGTTCGCGTGGTGTAGATCACCGTCTGGGTGTTGCCTCTCACCTCGTAAGGCTCGCGCTGCGCCAACTCCACCACGATTCCATCGGCACACACATCCGACAGCAAGTACCCGAAGGCGCATCCCATCATCGGAATAATATAAACACTGCCGTCGTTGACCGCGTCGTAGTTGATCGTCGCAATAATCTCGGGCGTGTAGTCCTCGGGCTTCACGTCTCGGTAGTCTGGATCTGTGAAGTATGGCTTGCTTTCAGGAGTGCACGACAGTATCACAAGCATGATAAGAGCGAAGATCCAGCCACCAAGGATGTAGGGCCGCCGACGATAGCCCCAGATTGGGAAGCAGTCGGAAATGATGCCGTAGAACACTTTGAAACTCCACGGCATCTGCACGAGCACGAACGCTGTGGTGGTTTGTGACCCGGGGAGGTTGAGGTAGTTCTGTAAGAATGGGTAGATGACATTGGGTAGAACGCCGTCAATGAAGCCGACACCTGCATACTGCGCAACGAGTCCAAAATACTGCCGCGAAAAAAGTTTCGGTGTACTTCCACTTCGGAGGGCACCCCCTTCGATGTAATCGTCGTACACATACCGCATCTTTTGGTCCTCGTACACCATGGGGAACGGGGACTCGTCCTGCGGTGAGTCCGTGATCATCCACGACCCTGAGTCCTCGCTATACAACTCGATTGGTGCCTGCTGCGAGGTCAACGTGTCCGTTCGGGCTGCTTTCATCGTGGTACCTGCACCTGTACGCTAAAGTAAACTGCGCTGGCACCGCGGGACTAGTCGAACACTCAAAGTGTCTCCAGCCGCGTAAATTGACTAATGCGCTGGCACCGCAGCAAGATCGATAAGAAGCAAATCGACACCCACCTTGCTGTCCATCGGACTTGGATAGCCTATCATCTCGTGAAAGACGCCCCGAACAACAAGCCAACAAGCCAAAACACTCACATACAGCTCACTGTATTAATAAGCCTTGGCTCCCTTGTTTTTGAACACCCCAAGTGACAACAAATTAAGTAAGAATTGTACATATAGTAAATTGATTGGCTACGTGACAAATTACGAGGGATTGTAAGCCATTACTAAGTATTTCGAAGCAAGGGCCAACTATTTTTGATAGAGCGTGTTGGGCTCCGAATGATAGCCGAGCAATGGTCGCTCGGCTCCTTCGTGGCAATGCACTGCTCGATTCAAACGCACTACATGTACATGTACGCGGCGCAATGTGACATTGCGTCCTTCTTTGGGGGGTACCACCTTGAACAGACAGCAAATTACAAATCCTCGACATTGACGACGGCAGCCATCTGCCGCAGAGGGACTCCTCTCTCGCAGTGTCGAGACTCGAGTTGGCGGAGATATTGAGGCAGCGGGTCTCTGGTATTACCAGTGGTACATGTAACCAGACTGGTTGGTATCCACTGGATACTATCCAGCATTTCAGACAACGGTAGCGGGCCTTTCAAATCTTGAGTGTTTCTCGCTCAAGCTGGCGTTCACGTTGGGCAGACCAAGCCGGTTCGCGTCGTCCGATGTTGTCAACGTTGTTTGCCATGTCTCGATGGTCAATGCATCGCAATGCACAACCTTCACCTGCAATGTGCATTTTGGTGCGTCTGCTGGGTGAAACCGGTATCATGTACTTCGAAGTAGGACGCACCTCCAAGGATACCGAGTGCACTAAAAGTTTTAGTAAAACGTGGTCTACGATAAGCTGAACTTCAGCCTGAAGTGCTAGTATCGTCGTTGTCGGAAAGAGGTCGAGCTCAATTAAGGTGAAAAGGATACCTATCTGTATCTGCTGGTAGTAGCAAAAGAGCTTACCGGTTTGGTCGATCAGTGATCGACTATCACGGTCAGCGCTTCCGCCAGCTGATGCTGTTCTCTCCGGTTATAAGGATCGACGCAGTTGATGCATTTTTCAACTGGTAGGGTAAATTTGCAAAGCAACAGCTCAAGTCAATCACGGCAAGTCTGATGAACTGACCGACTGCCCCTGCCGAAATACCATGTGCATTCCGTCTTGGAGCGGCAGTTCTCGCCTCTTGGGCCCTTCTTTCACCAGCGTTACAGTAGTTGTAGCTACTGAAGTGCTGCATTTCTTGCGTATGCAGAGCCCTCTGTTTTTGTCATCTGTTCAAGAGAAAGTTTGGATGATGGCAAACTATATGGACTCCAGTATGGTCTTTATTATGGAGGTGACGCTAACACCTGCAAATCTGTACGCATGTCGCCCGCCCTCTGCATTCCAGTCGGCGCCGTCCTCGAAGGCATGTACCGTTGTTTCTTATCAGTGATGGAGTAGGGTGCAGTTTGCGATTCGCGTGCTCCTGCGTATGAGCCAGACAACGTTAGCGGAGACCGACTACGAAATGCCGCTTCCAGACGAAAAGGTTGAGCTCTACAACCCTGACAGCGCAGCAATGCTGGGAGCATCTCGGTGCAGCATGTCCCCACTCGACCCGCCGGCCCATGACTACGACAAGTTGCGCTACGTGTATGATGACTACATTGAAGGAGGCGCGCTACGAAGCGGTGGAGCGCCGAACTTGTTCTCGCGCCAGTACATCGGACTCGTCGCGCAGTACGCCGCCGTTGGATTCATCGATGGCGTGCTCCCCAATGTCATTTACCCGTTTTTGCAGAACTACCTCAACATCCCCGGTTCACAAACCACAACGGCGACAGTGATGGTACAGCTACCCTGGAGTTTCAAGGTTTTCTACGGCATCGTCTCCGACTGTTTCCCGCTTTGGGGATACCGTCGTCGGCCGTACATGGTCATCGGCTGGATCGTCACGTTGGCCATGCTTGTAGAAATGGCTGTGACGCCCGAAGGCCGGCCTTATTTTACAGATACTGCCTATCGCGCTGTCAAGCCCGAGGACTACACACCTGAAATCATCGAGACGATCAACTACGATGCAGCCAACCAGGGCAGTTTGTACATCATTCCAATGATGGGCTGTGTATTCGGCTATCTGATGTCCGACGTGTGCGCTGACGGTATCGTCGTGGAGCTGGCACAGCGCGAGCCGCTGGAGATTCGAGGAAGGACCCAGACGGTGATTTACACGACTCGCTACGTGTTCAACATCTTCGCTCTGATTCTGGTAGCTTTCTGCTTCAACGGTGACGAGTATGGAGGTGACTTCGACTTTTCGCTGTCCTTCCCGATGCTCATGTTGATCGCCGGCATCGTGCTCGTGCCTATGGTTCCTCTAACGTGGTTTTTCATCTACGAAGAGAAGCGCCCCGAATACCACAAGAACTTCAAGCACTACATGTGCGAGCTCTGGGACATCGTGCAGACTCGTGCTGTGTACCAGTACATCGCCTACCAGACCATTTCCGGCATCTTCGCCATGTTCACGTGGGTCTCTGCTATGCCCATTCAAACCAACTGGGTCAATGTTTCGCCGCTCGCAGAGAAAATTGCCGGCTTCTTCACCACTGGTGCGTTTGCCATGTCGGTCTGGTTTGCTGGTAACTACGGTCGTGACTGGGACTGGCGACGCACTACGGTGGTGACTATGATCTGGAACTTGTCGCTCGACGCTGTGGTGAGGTTGGTGACGATCTGGGATATTACTCGCTCACCTTGGCTCTGGCTTGGAATCCCCGTTCTGCAACAAATTCCTCAGGGAATCATATACATTGTGGGGTCTTTCATCATCGTAGAGTTATCTTCAGAAGGACACGAAGGTGCCATGTACGGTCTTCTCACGACGGTTTACAACCTCTGCACTCCGTTCGCTGCTGCCATAACCCGTAACGTCGATAGCATGTGGGACTTGTCGACGGAGCGGATTCAGAACGACAGTCATGGAGTGAGGCAAGATGTGACCTACACGGTCGTGATCATGTACGCTTTCAACTTGTTTTCGCTCGTGTTCCTGGTGATGCTCCCCCGCCAAAAGGAGCAGACGCAGGTCATGAAGCGTCTTGGTGGCTCCAGCTATGTCATGGGGGTCATCACGGTGATATATCTAGTGTTCGCTCTGGTGTGGTCCGTCATGACCAACGTCATGAGCATCTACGATTCCACCGCATGTCTAGTCATCGCTGGCGGTGAGGGCTGCTAAGATCTTGGGTGGTAGTGACTATGTTTTTAAGCTAAGTATCTACATGTAACGTGAGCATTTGAATTTATACTGATACTTCGAAAAATGTAATACATGTAAGTTGCAGTCAGAGACTCTGACTCAGAGTAATCTTTGGATGGAAACTCAGATTAGCAATCTCTGTTTCAGAACGATCAGATCCGTTCCAGCTGGACGTGTCATTCTTCTTCGCGCCTCCTCGACAGCAACAACAATGGTGGGGTCGGGCGCTTCACGCGATCGCAGTCCGTTGCTTCGCTACGGCTCCGGGAGATGTAAGTGCAGCAGTGTCAATATGAATGACTTCCACTCGCACTAACGTTGGGAAGTATTGTAAATCCCAGCTGACAGCGACGACATTGAATTGCTAGCTCTCTCGCGCCACTCTAAGGTTGCCAGTGATCGTGGTAATTTGGTCCGACTGCCGCTGCGGACGGTCTTTTATGCGCTAAATGGTGTTGCGCTCTTCGTGCTGCTTTCTCTGTGTATTTCGATGCACAACACCATCTCTCGACTGGAATCGCCGACTGTTGTCACTGTGTACGTGCAAAATCAGAATACTATGAAGCCCGTGTCTAATCAACTAATGATCCCGCTGCATCTGAAATGCAAAGACCCAAAGCTATGTCGTACGGAACGGAGACTTCGAATACTTTGTTCGCAATACGACGGACTGGGGCGACCGCATGACTGTCATGTGTCTGTGGGAATACTCGGAGGCGCAACACGTCGCGCGAGAGATATGCCTCCCACCTATGCTGGAAGTGTATATCGCACTCACTTTGGCACCCGTTGAAGAGGAGGTCAAGGAGAATGATACTGATCGTTGCGGCTTCTACTTCATCCCGCACGTGGCGCTACGCCGATGGATCGCGCAGTTCCAGGATTTCTTTGTCAACAGCTTCGACATTCAATGGGATTCGCAGTCGTACGCCGCCAACAAGGACGCGCACCCAGATCTCGACTACACGCTGTTGGAGTCATCCACGAAGACGCAGAACCACAGTGAGTCCCTGGGGCCATTTCCGTACGCTAAAATCGTCCAGCATTTCCAGTAAACAGTCACGCTTACCACCTTGAAACTAAATGTGCAAATTCAGTTTTGAACAAACTACTTGTATCCATTTTAATGAAGAACACGATACATGTACTCGTGGATCATCAACTTCATGATGAAGGCTTGATGATCTTGCAAATCTGCTCGGAGTGCGTGCGACGATCGTCACGATTAAAGTCACGCCGACGAAGGCGGGAACATGCTGCGTTGCGCACCACACCTTGTGGTTAACAACTTGTGGCACAACCTCCTCTTCGTATACACACTGTGACCGACCAATCGCGGCGAGTCGCGACTCAGATCGGAATCCGCAGGGGCCCCCCGAGAAAGTGGACGAGGACCGCCCCGATGAATGTCGTATTCGTGTGCACTAGCAACACGTGTCGCTCGCCGGTCGCGGAGCACTTCGCCGTCGAGTACTTCCGTCGCAAGCTCAATATGTCGCGCGAGCAACAGGAAGAGAAGGGGATTGTCATCCGGTCAGCAGCGTGAGTGAAATAAGCTTCACTACTGCCTCGTAGTACTCAGATAAACTGATTTGGTGTTTGTCGAACAGGTTGACGGACGTGTTTGACCGAGAGGGCTCGCCAGCCTCCAAGCACGCGGTGGATGTGATGAAGAAGTATCAGCTGGATCTGTCCAAGCACCGCTCGCAGCTCCTAACGGAGCAAATGTGCATGGAGGCCGACTACATTGTGTGTGTAGCCAGCGGCATGGCCTACAAGGTCATGGAGAAGTTCCCAAGAATCGAGGAACGGGAGGGTGTATTGTGTGCTTTCACGCGAGACGTACCCGACCCGTGGCACATGTCTTACGACACTTACATGGAGAATATTGCGCAAAATGAGGAGATGACGCGGGATTTCCTCGACAAGCGTGTTACGTGGTGAAATTCGGCGAACTGCAGAGCATTAGCACGCTACAGAAGACTCGTACCAAACACGCAAATTAGGCAACCAGTCCTTCCGAGACGACATCATAATAGAACGATGCTGCAGGGGTTATTGTTACCGCCATTCAAAGCCACAAGACTTTGGACGTGATGCTTCTGACTGTACTGCCGAATCAGTACAGCAGGGGGAAGCAGGATATATTTTAGATGCACGAAGAAGAAGCGCCACTATGGGCAAAATGTGCGGCGAGCTTGCAGGTGCAGCAACCTCTGTCTTGCAGTAAGACTTGCTCGCTCACGTGTAGATGCAGATGTGCGAGTGAGATTAAGCACACTGCTTGAAGTAGCGCTGTCTCCGCCTGCTCGATGCAACGCTAGGGCCAACGTTGGACGGACACAACCACGGCGCGGCTTAGTGAGAGCGAGCGAGCGCACCTGCGCTCACACTGGTCTGATTTCACTGGAACAGCGCTGGCCGCCAGCGGCTGGCCCAGTCTGGCGCTTGACGACCAAGCTGCCGCATGCATGATCGACTGGCTGGCTTAGCGGTTTCTCCGTGAACATTCTCGCACTCTGAGGCACTGTGTGGTTGAAGCTGCATTCACATTGACGTACAGTGCAGACAGCGCGAGGATGTGGTCGATCAATGATCAAAGATCACACATGTACATGTAGGTTTATTGGCAGATTGACAATGTCATTGTCATTGCTGGTTGAGCGTGTCACGAGGTTGTGTGCCACAGTGCACCGTCCAGGACCTGGGCCAGGTTTGCGACTCGAGCATGTAGGGCGAAGTCTGAATCAGACTGATCGGATCAAAAGTGGACTTAGTCTTTGTAAAACATGTCTCAGCGTCAAAAGGGCGCGTTTTGGATACGCTTCGTACGACACTGCAACCTAAATTTTGCGATAGAATTTCACGTTAAGGGTGCAACAACGGTCGCCGTTTTGGGCGTCAAGTCAATAAAATAATCGTGTGGAACGTTTGTTTGCTGTTGCACTATCGTCCTGTGGCGCTGTCCTCTCGACTCAAGAGGACCGCGCCACAAGTCGTGCGGCTTGAGTTCCAGCTGCCACATATGGTCTGCTTTTGTGGAAGTCTTCAGTGGCCATTCTCCCAAGACGTTGGGAAAGTTGGCACTGCCAACGTGTCACGTTACGTGAACCGAGGTTCACCTGCACCGGTTTCCAAGGAATCGAAACGGTCTACCGGCCCCACGAGTGCATGTACAAGTAAGACGACTAGCGGTGGAAGGAGCTGCAGTCTTCATACATGTACAGTGTGCAGTGAATTAAAGGTTTACGCCTTGACATCGGCAGCCACGTCAGAAATTTGAAGTCCACGCGGCACAACAGCACGACGCCATAGTCAAGCTCAGTCAACCGCCATCTGTCAGCAACATTCTTGCTGGTGCGTCCACGTGGATTTGACAGCGGCAAGTTACTATTGGGCGGCTAGTTGAGCTTTTTCGACCTCTGAGGTGGCGCCTTTTCGTGCGGCATACGAAATCCAAGTTCTTGGGTTTCAGAAAATTGCGACAAATCGTTATAGGAGCGGCAGCAAGAGCTGGGAGGGGGCCGGCTGGAGCCAAACGTGCGCACCATACTTGAATCGTCCTCGTCCCGCCTGAGCCGAGAGGAAACCTTCGCGTCCTCTCTGCTATCTACACACCTTCACATAACCACAGTCTTTAGTCACAATGGTCGGATTCCTGCGCAAGAAAAAGTCGGACCGGGCCGTGCTCTCGGGAGACACGGTGCTGGATCGCAAGGGCAAGGTGGATGGCGCCAGTCTGCTAGACGGCGACGGAGAGCCCACGGAGGGATCGCTCTACGACATGAACGGCAAGCGCGTGAGCCACAACCAGCGCAGCTCGGACGAGGAGAACCGTCCCAACCCCATGAACAACGCCGGCTACCCGCCTGTCATGGCCACAGGCATGTACCCCCCGCAGCACTCTGGGTTCGGCCAGCAACAGCAGCAGCCGGGGGCCTACGGATACGGTAAAAACCAGCCTCAGCAGTACGGACAGCCTCAGCAACAGTACGGGCAGCCTCAACAACAGTACGGACAGCCTCAACAGCAGTATGGGCAGCCTCAGCAACAGTATGGCCAACCTAACGGAGGATATGGCCAGCAGCAGCAGCACCCGCCCACGACACTTGGTGGTCAGTACCAGTACCCTGTGCGATACGGTCAGATGCCCCCTCCGATGCCTGCAGCAGCGTCAAAGAAATCTCGGTTCCGCATCCCTGGAATGGGCAAGAAAAACTAAAAGACTGGACGACGGAAGTTGCGTACGAACTCGTGGAGATCCGAAAAGGACAAGCGGGCAGGCGATGGTACAAGTATTGTGGTCTTTTTGCGAGTAGAACCTCGTGGTGTATTCTGTAGCGTACGGTACAGGGCAGGGGAGACCTGGATCGGCCGAGTAGCCACAGCTTCCCGACTTGTCTAGCTGTAGCCTAACCTACCTCTTTTCCTTTCATTGCTAAATAAATTAAGGACTTCTATGCCACTTGTCTCTGCTACTGTAGTATATTATTGAATCGCCACAGCACTTCCGTTGAGCGCGAGCGTAGTTCCTGCATGAACACGTACATGTACACTGTAATGATCAGTCGATACATGACGCCATCTTGGCTCATGGTTCAAGATGGGTAAAATCGTCACGGCCTCACGTTACCATGCCCGCACTTACAAATAGTTGCTCGCCAAGGTGATCAAGCCTGTCCGTGAGCGATTCCTTGGCAAGAAACCACCAGAAACCACGAGAAACTAACGCTTGCAGCACACACGTTGTCTATTATTGAAATCGTCATTGGCAGCATGATAAACTACACCAAGAGCGTAGTTTTGCAAGTTACTAGCGGACGGTTGCTCGTCGTTCGCTGCAACGAGTTAGTGAATGTTCTGGAACAGGCGAATGGAGCCGTCGGCACCGCCTGTCACCACCCACGGCTGCAATACCAACAACGTATTGGTTAGATTAAGTGGATGCCCATGACATTATCCGATGCAACACGTACCAGGACAGGGTGGAAGGCCAGCGCCATGACACCAAGACCGCCTGACACCTCGTGACCGCGTAGGATCTTAAGTGGCACGATCAGCGGGTTTTTCATCAAGTCCCTGCAACACACAAACGTACAGTTCAAAGAAGTTAGTCAATAAGTAAACTCAATAGCGTCTCGTCTCAGTGAAACGATGACAATACGTACGAGTAGACCATGGCGTGGAAGATGTGAATGGTGCCATCATCCGAGGCAGAAGCCATGAGCGGGTACTTGGCGTGGAACGACACGTCGCGTACAGCTTTCTCGTGGTACTTGAGCGTCTTGAACGGTCTAGAGGACAGATCCAGGTCAAACCAGCACAACCGCCGGTCGTAACTACCCACAAGCAGGTGGTCACCGTTCGGGTGCACCGCCATGCTCGAAATCCACTTGACACCTGAAGACAGCTTCTTAACGATCGATTGCTTCACGAGGTTGTACACACGCACATGGCGCTGCGTGGCGTGGAAGAAGAATGGCTTGGACGGGTGGAACAGCACGCACTGCACCTGGCCCACGCTCTTCTGGAACGGGTTCTGGGTCTTCCTCTTCGAGAGCTGGTGGATCAGCACTGCCCCAGAGCCAGCGCCGGGGGCTACTGTAGAAAGGTAGTCGCCCTTGTAGTGCCATGCCACGTCCTTCACGTCGCTCGTGTGGTGCAGCACAACACGAATACCAGAGCCTACACGGCGCTCCAGCCACGGCCGCTCCGCCTTCTTTGACTTGTGCTTGTCCTTCGTGCCGCTGTAGAACCGCCAAGTCACCGGCACCTTTTTCTTGAGTGCGTCGGCCTCCACAGTAGCCTCATCTTCATCAACGACCTGAACGTCACCATCAGCGCTATCTGTCTGGATGCTGTCACTGGCATCGCCCACAAGCGCATTGGTAAGTTCTGTCTGGTCTGCGCTACCAGTTCCGGTGGAAATGATAAAGACCTTCTTGGCAGCAGCCACGGCTAGCAGCTGGTGGTCCTTGTTCGGATTCCACGACAACTTGTGCACCACTGCACCAACGTTGTAAACATGCAGGCAACGTGCAGTTTCAAGCTCCCAGATGCGGACAGTGAAGTCGTCCGAGCCCGAGGCCACGTACTGGCCATACGGATCCACAGCCAGCGAGCGAATACGACCGGTGTGGCCATTGAAGACCAGCTCCAACGTGTTGGGGAACGGACGTAGATCTTGGGGCTTCGGCAGCTCCGGCACCAGCGACTCTGGGTCGATATTCAGCTTACGCTTGTTGACACGAGGAGCCAAGTACAGATCCAAACAGCGCTCAAAGCGTTCACGTACAAAGCCGCCGTATCCACACACCTCGCGCAGCGACTTGAACTTCTTCGGCATGAAATTCGTCTCACGGTCCTCCGGATCGGCTTCTTCCCAAGCGCGACGCTCTTCCTTGGTGAAAAGGTACTCATCTGGGGGGTTGTACGACTCGATGTGTCCAGGAAGCGGCATCTTTGGCGCCTGCACATGGGCTGGACCCTTGCGAGTTTGCGCTTGGTCGTCGTCAAACCACATCTGGTAGACCTCGGATTTCTTTTCGGGTTCCTGGTCAAGTTTAATGCGACCCTCCTTAATGCCCTTCATGATCTTCATGACCTTCATACGCTCCCATTTCGACGGCAGGAATCGACTCTTAGGCTCGAGGTCGTTACCCATAGAGTGGATGATCTTGTTGGAAGAATAGATGTCCACGTAGTCAGGGTACGCCTCAAACTCCGGGTGCGCGAAAGCACCGGCCTGCATACGACGAATGATTTCCATGTCGCGGTCCGAAATGACAATTTTGCGGTCATTGTACGCGTCGTAAACCGTGCGACTGTCAAACAACAAAGAATTAACACAACGTCAGCCTCCTTCAACCTGAAACTAGAGCTATAACTCGACGTACTCGTAGTTTGGGTCATCCTTCGCAGCGATAGCGTTGTCAATACCATCGCCATTGTTCGACTTCATAATCTTCTTACCGTCCACGTTGTAGCCGATGTGGTCGTAGTCCTCGTACCATCGGAGCGGCACGTTGCCGATGGTGTTGACGTTCTCTTCATCGTCGGACGACAGGTCGTCTACGTGCAGCTGTGACGCCACCGAAAGCGATCCGTCTTCACGCATCTTCTGCACCTCCTTCTCTCGGTCCACCGTAAAGCGACGCGTCTTCTTTTCCAGCTCCGTGAGCTCGGCATCATCTTCGTCGACCGCCTCATCGCCACTTTCGTCGTCGCTGGACGATCCCTGATCCTCGAACTCGTCGCTGCCCTCCGAATCACTGGCTTCGTCACTGCCCTCCGTCTCACTGGCCTCGTCGCTCTCCGCCTCACTTTCTTCTTCGCTCTCTTCCTTTACAGGCTGCTGGATGACCTTCACAAGTTTCTTGCTGATCTTGGCAGGCGTCTGCACCTGCTGCTTGTTCTGTTTATTCGCTGCAACACCTGCTGTCTTCTTGCTACCTTTGTTACCGCCGTTGGCATTCGGCGTGGACGCCTTAAGCGATGCTGCCGTCTTCTTCCCACGAGCCATCGCTATTGATCGAAAATGGCAACGTTGACGCGCTCGCAACCAGCAAAAAAAGTGTGTATCACTTATGTACCAGTCTCGCTGAGACCCATGGGATCAATTGACGGTCAATTTGACCCACCTGGACCCTCCCGACATAATAGGGAGGGAGCCTCCACACACAACACAACGCCCACTTGAAGAGAGAAGGCTCGCGCTGCCGGCCCGTCCCTCTCTCTCGCTGCAACTCCCCTCTCAGCGACGCGCGGCCAGCCTCCCTAGCCTTGTCGTATTCCCCGTCATTTCCTCTATCTAACGAGCCACTGTCCGTGCGTATCGACCCCGCCAGAGACGAGTAATCGGCAGCTTCCCCCCACGTTCCAGTCCGAGCCCGGCAAAGCGTAGGTTGGATATTTGCGCCCTACTGCGAGTGTCCACAGACGCCGATCACCACAACGAGACTTCGCCGTCGCAGCAGACCGCGTCAGATCTCGTGGAGCGCCATGAAGGCCCCGCGCGCCAGCTGCGAGGGCTATCTTACCTTCCGCATTAGTCCATCATCGCCACCTCCTATGCTGCGGCGCTATTGCTTTCTCGTGGGCACTTCTTTCCACTATTACAGGTAAGACAAGTCGATTTGCTCCCTATTTAATTCAATATGACGAGCTAAAGCTGTGTGATATCCCATGTGCGAGCAGCACTCAGGAGGATGCGTATCATATGCTGCGTATTAAGGGCGAAGTGGACGTGCTTGGAGTGCAGGAATGGGATGGAAAAGGCAACATGCACATCTATCAGCACGGCTTCCTATTCGCTACAGCACAGAACAAAGTCTTCTACGCCTACGCCGACACAGCCATGGACAAGGAGAAGTGGATCCGAGCGATCCAGACAGCAGTGGAGACCACAGTACCGCGCCTTGCAGCAGCGTTCTTCCAGCACGCGTCACTAGAAGTGTCCCTTTCGCCCGTGAGCACAGTGACGGTGCCATCAACTGAGACGGACGTGACGTGCAAGTGTCCGGATTGCACTCGGTTGGCAGCAGAAGCTGCTGCCGCTGGACAACCAGCGACACTGCTGTACAAGTGCAACAGCTGTGACGGTTTGTATTGTGATAAATTCACGACACACAAGGTCCCCCTCCCACAGAGATCTCACTACTACGCCAAGCGCGTGTGTGACCGCTGCTATGAGGCGCAAAATTACATCAACTACTTGCGGGCGATGGTGGAACGACTAAAGGCAGGAATATGTTTGTACCCGAAACCACTGAACCTCGAGGCTCCGATTGAACTGATTATGCCCAAGCGTCCACTGCAAACTGAGTCTGCAAAAATTGCTATTGACTTGCTGAAGGCAAAGGTGATTACCGCTGAAGAATGCGAGGAGATCTTGCTGAAGGATCGACGCTTTTATGATCACACCATGGACCATCCAGAAATTCCGTTAGACTTGAAGATCTTGGGCCTACACCGCGAATTCCGTGCACGCAGCTTTAGCGTTTATCGCGCTGTGATCTTACTGCATCGTCACTTGGATAGTGACCCTCTGCTGTTCAAACCGATTGTGGAGAAGCTACTGCACTTTTCGTACACGCGCATCAACCAAGTGGAGTTTTACTGGCCCCAGATCGTTCATGCGTACCTGTCGATCCCGAATTTTGACTTTGAGAAGGTTTTCTGGCTGGACGAACTCATCTTGTCAGTGTGTTCGCGCTCCATTCATCTCGCGCTTCTGCTTCGATGGCAACTTCAAGGCGCACTCGAAGACTCCTTCGATCCGAGAAAGCCCAAGGAGATGCAGGACAAATATGCACGAGTGGTACGGCTGATGGTGGAGATTGAGCGTGAAGTCGCAGGTGTAGACCGTGCCACTGTACTCAGTCGTGACCCACAGCATGAAGCATCGCAGGTACACAAGCGTAACCTGCCGATGCCTACAGATGACCAGCTGCAAGTTATCGTGAAGCTTACAGAGGAGATTGCAATCCATCGTCGCCTAGCACACTGTATCTCTACTACAAGTGGCTCTCCTGCGGGCATGGATTCGTACTCACCCATCTCACCGCCAATGGCGAGGAACGGCTCGAACCGGAATGGCTCGTTAGATGGAGATGTGGACAGCCGCTTTCGCGATTTCTCGCGCTTCCAACAGCATTTGCTCACGCCGAAGGAAGACCTTGACTCGATGTTGCTCACACACCCTACGGGTGACGACTATGAGCAAGATGAACGGCTGTCCATTCTTGACGAGGAGGATACTGATCACCAGCCCACCAGTATTTTCAGCGAGTCGATGAGACGCATGAGCCAGACAGACAAGTCCCTGCTGGCAAAACACTTTGCTGACGAATGTGACTTCGTGGAGCAGATCACGGATATCGCCGAGGCGCTGCGTTTTGTACCGTCTATACAGGATCGGAAGGCTCATTTACCGTCGTATTTAGAGAAACTGCATCTTCCGCCTATGGCGTACGTACCGCTGGTGAAAGCCACGGACCCTTTCGAGCGTATCGTGCGGATACCCACAAAGGAAGGAACCGCGTTCTCGACGAAAGCACGTGTCCCTATTTTGCTGATTTTCGAGGTGATTCGAGGTAATCCTTTTGAAGATGAACAACAGCCTGATGCCTCGCACCCAGGGTCTCCACGATCGCCTTCAAGACAGAATTTGACGGGAAGTGGTGCGCTTGAATCTTCTGAAGTTAACTATGTTGAGGATGATGAAATCGGTGAGCTGATTGGACATCAGGCCAGTGAAGCTTTTGCCGGTGATGCACAAGAAGCGGAGGAAGTTCAAGCGGAGAATGTGATTCCTCCCCCGGTTGTTCCTGAACCGTACCAGTCTCCTGTCGCTGTGCCTCGTCGTGCCCCGGTTCCTGAAACACCAATTGACGTCCCTGATATTGTGTCAACGCCATCTACGGCTCCACCGGTCCTCATGCAGCCTACCGAAAGAGTCGTGAATAAAGCGAGTGCAGATGGAGGGACAGTAGAGGACCAGCCTTCAACACCGTTGGAGATGGATTTAGCATCGGGCAACGTGACAGCAGAAGCGATTGAGCGTGAAAAGGCACGTCGCAGGGACTTTGAAGCAGCTTTCGGAGAGTCGTGGAGCTCGAAACGTGCAAGACTGATGGCTGCCTCGCCGTACGGCCATCTACCCGGGTGGGACATCGTGTCTATGATTGGCAAGAGTAACGACGATCTTCGTCAGGAGGTATTTACGCTGCAGCTGATTCAGAAGTTCGTTGAAATCTTCCGGGGTGCGAATCTGCCGATGTGGGTGAAGAGATACCGCATCATCGCTACGAGCTCGTCTACTGGACTGATCGAGACGCTGATCAACGCAATCTCGTTGGATGGTCTGAAAAAACGAGAAGGATACGTTTCGCTGCTTCATCACTTCGAGAAGTCGTATGGACCTAACTCGCACCGATTTAAAGAAGCGCGGCGGAAGTTTATTCAGTCTATGGCTGGGTACTCCCTCGTGTGCTATTTCCTGCAAATCAAGGATCGGCATAACGGTAACATCATGCTGGATAACGAAGGGCACATCATCCATATCGACTATGGTTTCTTACTTGGTATCGCGCCTGGTGGAATGCTGAGCATCGAGACAGCCCCATTCAAGCTGACGGCCGAGATGGTGGAGACCATGGGTGGCCAGGACTCGGAGGGCTTCAAGGAGTATGTGACCTTGTGCACACGAGGCTTCCTGGCGTGTCAGCAGCACTGTGACGAGATCTGTGACCTGGTGGACGTCATGTCGCGTCAGTCACCGTACCCGTGCTTCCTGGGCATCGACGCTGATTATATTTTATTGCGTCTGCGCTCTCGCTTCAAGCTGACACTATCCAAGCAAGAGACTGTGGCGCACGTGCTGTCGCTCATCCGCAAGAGCAACAACAACTACAGCACGCGTCAGTATGACAATTTCCAGCGTATGACGAATGGTATTCTTTCATAAGGTGACTGGGTTCTCAGAGTCAAGTCGCAAGCGAATAAAAGATCGAAAGCCTTTCGGACAACGAATGTCCTTAGAACTATAAGGTGCGTGCTTTTCAAGCACGTAGCGTTTTGGTAGGTAAGTGTATAGGTTGCAGTTGTACCTTGTCGGGTGGTAACGATCCAGGAATGAACGCTTCCGGAGAAATATCATTTGGCCGACGACAGTCTGGTGCTTCGTCAGCATCATATCTAAAGTTAAGCGGCAAAGTAGCTTCCCAATCCGTCACGTTTCCGCAGCATGCATCTCCGCGTGAATCCAGTGTGCAGTACAGAGAAAGCCACAATGACGACGGCACAGGCTAGAGCAACCTTGGTGCCTGAGGAGGCGTCGGAGATGTTGGTGAGCGATTCGCCAGAGTCTTCTGCAACGAGCAGGTTGAAATACACGGCGGCAACGAGCGAGACGAGCGCGATAAGACCCCAGATAACTCCCCAGCATCGACTTGAAGTGTGCGTCATCTTGGCAAAGACCGAGGCGTCGCTCTCGTTTACGCGACGGGAAATGAGGTCGTCCCAGATGTCGTAAACCGAGAAGAGGCAGCTCATGACACCGAGGAAGAGCGTCACGTATTGGAGAGCGTCGAAAGTCGTCCAAATGTTCAGTGCTAGCAGACCCGCAAGCAGCAAGATGAAGCAGAAGTTCAGGATGCGGAGGTAGCCGTTGTGTGCGTAGAAGATGAAGATCAGGAGGAAGAAGATGAGGACACCTGCTGCCACTTCAGAAGCCGTTTTGTCGGCGCTTGCGATCGTCAATGCCATGCCCCACACGGCCGATCCCAGGTAACCCTGCAGTCATGAACACAATCGTGTCAACATCATATTTATACTGTGCCACGCAGGGTTGGCAACGTACTGCAGGGAGGATAACCCACTGGAGTCCACCGATCGTCTTGGTCACACCACCTTCGTCAGGATGCACCTCCATTCCTTTAACCTACATTACAAGCAGCAACGACATTAGCTACAGCATCGCGCTTGTAGTACTTATAGGACGCTGCATACGCTGCCACAGGTGAGCCACGCAGCTGTCGCGTGCCCCAATTCGTGTAGGAACACCGTTCTGCGTCATCCCCGGTGTCATGCAAGGCCCATGTCATGTTAGTGCAGTGTCCGCCGCAGTTTACGGCAGCAATACGAGAGGGACGTACAGAATTTTGAACGGGTGGAGGATCGATACGCGCCATCTGCAGCAAGGATGCGAGAGAAGAATCAGTGCAATACTGAAGACACGGGTGGAAAGTGACGCCCTTACAGCTTGAAGATGGCGACGGCGTAGCAGATGATGAGGAAGATGGACAGGAACTGCTTGTCGTTACAGCACTCGAGAGACCAGTCGATGCTCATGGTGGCGGATTAAGACGTCGAATCGACCTGGCAAGTCGGAAAATGGCAAGTGCAGTCTGAGATACCCCACAAACACTTTGTCCAATCAAGTGTCGTAATCCTAGCTGAACCCACGACACAAAGAGTCCACAAGTCACACGCCGAAATGGATTTTCATCGCAGTGCGAGCTCCACCGACGGTGGAATCCACCGGTGGCACCGTGGAGTCTACACGATAAAGTTGGATGGCAATTTCGCTTTGTAGTGAGATGATGGCTGCATTGATGGAAGACTGGGATTGCATTCATTTGAGTGTGCGCACGACTTCAGCCTACCAATGGTAATTCGCAATGAAACCGATGACCATCGAGCGAGTCCGACCGTTGGTTGAGTACTCTCTCGCCTAGCTGCTATTCACCATGGCCACTACCGGTGATGCGAGCGGCGGCAGCCATCGCGAGTCGAGCAAGCGTGTGCAGGACAAATCGCACGTAGTCGAGACGAATGGAAAGAAAGCAGCCGTACCTGGTAGTCCAGCAAAGGCTCCGTCGGCGTCCGCCGTCCCTACCAATGCCAACTGGCAACGCAAACGATCATCGCTGCTTCTGAATGCAATGCACCCGGAAAATTCACGCGAGGCAGCGGCTTTCGTCGAGCGGCTGCCTCGATCCTCAGCTCTCCGCGTCCTTCTCGCTCTCTTTGCCTACGCGCTGCTCGTCTCCGATGTCCCACGCGCAGGCTCAAGTGTCGACAGTCTCCCCTTCGTCCAGATTGAGCCCAATGTCTTTACAGTCTATGGCCCCACGTCACGTCCAGGCCACACGATCTTTCGGAACGGCTCAATTAGCACTGACGGAGCTTCTGTAGCTCCTCCGAGATCTCCACGGCGCTCTACAAGTTCACTCCAAGCTCTTATGGCTTACGCACGGCACGAGAACTACTTGATACGTCTTCGAAGCTTGCGTCATCATGGCCTTCATGCATACTAAGTGCACACTCCACTGACTCGGCGTACAGCAGTGACTGTGGCGATTCCTTACCTGGAACTACGGTGTTTAGTATGCTCGATACCCTGGTTGAAGCACTTGCAGCCAATGCACCAAGTACCACCAGCTACAAGAATGTGGCTCAGACAGACGACGGCATTGCAATCACGACAAGGGGAGAACTCAGCTCGCTCCCTCAACGTGTCTGCTTCGCAGCACGATCCAAAGCTCGCTGGACGGGGACAAGCAGTGCAGGTTCCGGCTCCTCTGCTGCAAGTAGCAGCGCCAGTTTCTTGTCTCGCAACTTGCTGGATCACAAATACTGGCTCAGTGTTTGGGTCACAACTTTTGCAGACCTTGATGCTGCCAATCCGGGAGTGGATTTGTGTGTGGACGACTTGGATCGCCCTCTCTTCTGTGAGAAACCATGGGCTGCGTCCTTAGCTGTCGATGGAAGCGAGAGAGACGCACTGTGGGAAACTGTATCGTCGCGAGCTGCTGTACTACAGAAGACTTTGTCTAAGAACGAGAAACTTGACATTACCTAGATCGAAGCTGAATCGGACCCTCTTACAAGGCTGGGAGGGGCGGTGCTACTTGCACACAAGATTTACAACGTGGTGGTGCTGTATCGGATTCGAGAATGCACTGACACAGACGTGTGCACTACGACGACTATATTTGACGAGCGTGTCGAGGGCAAAGTTCTCTACACTGATGCGCTGGAGTGGAGTTCTCTGGCATCCACTCTACGTTTTATTGGACAGCTGTACGTCATCGTGAGAGTCTTGTGCTTACTCTTTGCTTGCTTTTCAGTAGGCTCAGCCTTCGACATAGCCCCAAACACAGATACGTCACGGTTGAGACGCACTCTTCGCGTCTTCTTCGCTGTGCCGACTCAGGTCGTAGTGTACGGTAGTTGGCTTCCAGTGCTTTGTTACGCAAGCGCACACATCATCGACGCGCTGATACTGTACGAACTGGAAGATGACGGTGGCGACAGCGCCACGGATAGCTTTGCAGCTTTGACGCGTTGGCTAGCGGTACATATGCGCTGCGCTTGGCTCATGGCTTTACTTGCCCGTTTTCGAGCGTTGTTGCAGACCTCTGCAGGGGCGTGGACTCCAGCACACGGAGTCTCGGGAGTGCGAGGCCATCTTCTGCCCGTATTGGCGCTGAGTGCTGTTGCGTTTGTAGCACAAGGAGGAATTGCTGTCGACGACCGTGATGCCCGAATCTTGGAAGCTAACGAGGTAGAACCTGTCCCAACTTTCATGTTGCTGCGCTCCGAGACGTTGGATGCTTGGAAGATGAATCTGGAGGGAGTGTACAGTGATATGCTAGCCGTCGCTCTTGCTGCCATTATCTACGTCGTCGTCATTTTAATGGTGCGTGCGCTGATGCGCTGGTATCGACGTCGATGGGTCAAACCGACGAAGTTTAGTCAGTCGAAACCCCACGAGAAGGGAGATGCAGTCCCTGAACCATTGTTCTTTGCTCGATCGGCTGTTCCGAGTGCTGCGGGTGCTCTATGGGAACCCAGTTGCCTTTCAGTGAGTTGGGACGATGATCTCCTGGGGCCTCTACTTGCTGTGCTGAGTGCCACTATTCCATGGGTAAGTCAACGAAATATCGTCAACAAACAACGCCCGAGACAGGAGAATATAAACGACAACGATGCTGCCAATGGTGATGATATCGCGACGAGCTCGGCGTCGACTGCCCAGCGTATGCTTATGAACCTGGTGTTTTTGAGTGACCGGTGGACCTTGCTAGTTTTAAAACTTGGACGTGCTCGTGTGCATCTGTATCATCTTCGTGGGAACGGATTAGACTGCAAAGTGGTTCATGCCAACGCCAAAGCTCGTGTTGCGCGTGAATACTCGTTGCCATTTGAAAACGTTGAGCTGGTTGCTTCTCTGCGGGCATCGGAGTTGTCCTGGTCGCAACTTGTTACATGTAAATAAACGAGATGCAACTACAGTATCATGACAAAAAATTCTAAGGGCTTAACTTGAAGTATTTACATGTAGTTTCTAGTGATCCTTCTCGTCTTCATCTTCTACTATTAACTCGTATCCTTTGCCAACAGCTTCCAGGTCGTGAACGAAGAACCAGGCGAGAAAACTAATCGTCGGCAGCAAGACGATTTGGCTGTTGACGATGCAGAACTCCGCGATAGAATTCCCCATCTGCTTCCAGCTGCCTTCATTATTCACGAGAAAGAGGAACTGCACAGCGAGGAAGTCTGCCAACGCCACTGCCGGCAGGAAATATGACGACAACCAAAGAGATGTTCCACGCAGTTCTTTCTCTCGTGTCGATGCTGCTGTTGATGGTAGCAGCAAGATCAGACGGAAAGCGCAGGCGACAAGCACGAACGGAATCATGAGCTTCAGTACGACAAGAGCTTGCGCAATAGAGGGAGCAGGTTGTGTTAAAAATTGCCGAGTCGATGGGATCTGGAAGCTGGTAAGACTGGCCACGCTGGTTGTCCCGAAGAACGAAACTTGGACAAACAGTAAAAGTATCAGCGCTCGCTGCACTTCACGAGACGCAGTAATTCCTCGAGTCAACGTCTCTTTTGCTTCCACCACCACCCAGCTGATGAGCCCGCAGCATAGTGCCAAGTAAAACAACACTTCGTATGATGTGCTTAGCAGTATGAAGCCTGGAGCAAGAGCAAGAATTATCTTCAATAATCGCACAACCACTACGCGTGTGACTTGACCTGTTCGTTGGCGTTCCAGGTCGCTTTCATCCTTATGGTCGAGAAATCCCCGGTCAGCTTTTGAGGTCTGGCACTTTGTTCGGACAAGTAACCATGTTACTGGAAGGATGACGAGCAGCCAGTTTAAAACCACGAGAAAGAAAGGCGGCGTGGCTTTGTCATCCAGGCAAGTTGACGTCCATTGCAGAGTCAACATTGCTATAAGCACTGGAGGCCCACCAGATAAAAGCACTGCCTTCCACTGGGACGTTTGGTCATGAATAGCAGATATGGTGCGAGCCACAAGAAAGGTAAATAACAGTACCAACAATGCTCCAAAATGAACCAAGAGTGTGCCTTCGTCATTACCGATCGGTAGACACGGGAAAATTGCGATAAAAAGACAGCTCGCAGACCAACAAAAACTTGGCGTCACCAGCTTCTTCAGCTGCACGCTTTCTTTCGGTCGGAATAGGGTACCGCTTGGTTGAGCAGCCAGGAAAACAAACAGCAAGCTGAACGCGACACGGTGCTTGTAGCCAATGACAACCAGCTCTAAGCAAACTAATACCAAGGCAGCTTGAACAATCCACTTCCATCCGGAATTCTTTCTCGTAGGAAGTACTGCTAGGAGTTCATGACGATGTCTCCAAGCGAATTTCCAAAAGACAAGAGGACACAACCCGTAAACGTAATACATCGACGGTGAGTCTGCGAGAAGCCGCCACCACATCATTGCAGCGACAGTAGCAACAAACGTGACGCTAATTGTATGAGTCATAAGCCACCGTAAGCAAAATTCCCGGGGATGAAGATAAGCTATAGTCATGACGAGAGCCCAGCCGATGTACCCCAATACAATCGAACCTCGCAAAAACAACCAGTCGTACGTCTGGTAATAGACGATCGCTAGCCGACAAACATCAATCATCTCCTGGCTCAATAGTTCGACGACACGGAACGCATCGTCATGAATTGTGTGGCTTGTACCTTCAGGCAGGCTATCGATGGCCTCATCAATGTGGGCCTCGAGGTCTGGTACCCGGTTGTGGAGGGATGAGTATGGAACAAAAAATAACCCTCGGCGAGCGCGTTTTACCTCCTCCTTGCGCAATGCGTGTTGATACAATTGCTGTGCATTTGCACGCATAGCAGTGACGCGATACTTGTCCTGCCGCAAGTAAGTAAATGGTAGAACTCCAACCGAATTTCGGGGATACGGAAGTCCTGCTAAAGCACTGATAAGTGCTGCCACATCTGTCTGCATAACATCCTTGCGCTTAATTCCTAATACTGCACGCCACTCGCGGACAGCAGCCTGCTCCTCGTTTTCCTGTGCCTGCAGTCGTGACTGCACCTCCGCTCTCGATCGAGTAGGCAGCTCAATATCAAACTCATTCCTGCCATTCTTTTGTGTTGCCTCAGGTCCCTGGACACCGGCACCCCACGCAATAATTGCTGTCCTTGTTTTAGCTGGAGCATTATCTCCATGGTCCCCACGAAGATCCATTCCATGGTCCGCGTTGACCACGTACGCTGTTTGTCCATCGTTCCCATAATAAGCTTCAATCATTTTGTACGTCTTCTCGATCAGCTCATCCACCACAGCAATATTCTCCAAGTACTCTCGCGAGTCCGCTCCATACTTTGGTCCTGTCAAATCAGTGCCGAGAAAATGGCAATAGACCACCAATTTATCGTCATGCAGCTTCCTGTACAATTCCAAATCCTTCGCTTCCGTCCCTTTTGCAAACAGTTCTTTCACTCTGCGATACGCCCACACATCCAGCAACGTCGTGTCTTCACGTACCATGTCGCCTTCCTCTCTCGCGGAATAGTGTTTTTCCTTTGCTTGTGGTGCGTGAGCCGCGAGGATCGGTGCAACGTCTTTATTGCCAAAGACGAAAGCGTTATTGCTCTGATTGAACACCGAGTCGAAGGGAAGTGGATGTCGTTTCCAGCTATTAGAGACCGCGTGGGGGTCCTCGTACATCCCGGCAGTGAGCGCCACGTGACATGGACGGCTTTCGGTAGGTGCGTGATTGTGAGAGATGCCCCAACTACCACGATTTCGCATCACATCGCCTAGGAATGGCACACGACTGTCCGTACTAGTCTCAATGGTGTTCGTAGCACTGTCTGGGTTGAGGTCGTAGTGGTCTGCGTACCTGGCGACGACTTTGAAGAGTTTATCGACGCGACAACCATCGAATGTGAAGATGATGACGCGCTTGGCGGGAGGCGAAGAGGTGTAATTGGCACTGCGGATAGAGGACCCCACAGTTGACTGGAAGTAGACGTCGAAGATGCTGAGGATGTATAGCGCGTGGAAGACCACGCCCAGGAGCAGCAGGCGCGCAATGCTGCTGCCCGACGACTTTGCACTTGCACTCATAGAAATTTTCTAAAACGTTTTTACGACATGTACACATATGTGTAGTATACAATGTATACATTTGACCTTTCATTAGTCGTGCTTTGAAATTAATGTGCATTCGCGCTTTAGTGACGTCACAAATCTAGAAGGCTCATCAATTCTAAACTGTTGAAGGAATGATTTGCGCAGAGTTGTTAGGGCAGTACAGAACTGAATGAGGACAAAGGTAGAGAGGATTAGGCGGCCATAGTGAAGAGGAAGTCTTGAATGTAGAAGGAGAAGACGCTTGTGGTGGACTTGGTAAAAGAGGAAGTGGTGATTTAGATAGTCTGGTGTCCTGGAGGGGAGTTATTCTCCACCAACCAGTCCAGTTATATAAGAAATCTCTATATGATATAGCACAATTATATTCCCCTAGATAGTCAGCATCACATCGGAGATGGTTACTTCAACAGCCTCCCACATCGAGGAATGTGTATGATGCTCTATCTGTCAGGTGCACCACAGGTGGCTGTTAATAACAGTCCTGTGCGTACATGAACATTTACAAGAGGTAGATCTTGTTTTGATATTGACATTCTTTTTTCTTTGACTTCTATTGTCAGATTTGTCGTTTTGTTACCAGTTTTGGCAGGGGTTGTACAGATTTCTTGTTTTATTGTTATTTTTGGCTACTCAGGAAAACCGTAGAGGATTAAACCTGTTCACCATAGTAGGATGTCGTTGTTAGCGCTTTTTGTGCACGCGTTTTGAAGAAAGCTACTCAGGAAACCTTTCATTTTGAGTGTCAAAACCTGTTCGCTGTATTGTTGGCTACTCAGGAAACCTTTGAGGATACACCTGTTCACCGTGTTGATATTTAGATATTTTGTGAAAGTTGTGTTAAACTTTTGTTCATTAAACTGCCAGTTTTGTGCTCTTTAGTTTGTGGATATTTCTTCACACTTTGAAATTTCGTATTTGCTTTTTGTTATTATTTGATTGCTTTTACTTTTGTGTGGAGAGTTTATAGTTTTCAAATATTTTTAAAGAAAGGCTACAGCTTTCAAAGCATAAAAACATCTAACAGTGTCATCGGTAGTGTACGCATCTTGTTTGCAGGCTCTCATCGTTGGGGCTATTTTTCTCCCTAGAGGCTCATGGAGTTGTTTCTCATTTCGAAGATTTTTATTTTGTTTATACTTCGCAAGTGCAAGCAATAGGTTTGTAAACTATCGATTCCATTGAAAATGAAACTAATGCAGTAAAACTATAGTTGCTTTCTGTAGACAGAGGCTTGTGTAGGCTTGTCTTAAAGTCATAAAGTATTGAAGATTTTTTCTTTATGCTGGAAATGTTTATAACTTTTGCCGCAATAATTTTTTTAAGTTTGGCGAATTGAATGAATTGTTTCGGCGTTGTTGCCTCCCAGTTTCATACATTTCTGGGCGTATTTCTTAACTTGGTTAAATACCAGACACATGTTTGTATGGACAATTGCCCATTTTCATTTTATCTCTTTCTTGTTTTTTTAAGGTATATTTTTATTTTACAGGTCCAAAATGTAGTGGATTACCTGTTCTCAACAAGCCGTAGATCTGCATTTAGTAGACTGCTGCAGCTTTGCATTAAGCGAGGTTTTAGCTGTGCCATTCGGCCTTGTAGCTCGAGATGTACATATTTAAAATGGTATCTCATTAAGTACACATATACTAGTAGTAAATACACAGCTTGTAGCTGGAATATTTTAAGCACAGCTTTATAGCTCGCAAGTGGGGCATTTGGCCTCCCAGTATGGCGTGACACTACAGCAATGCTGCTGGTGCGTGAGGGCGGTATTTAGTTCTTCGCCTTAAATATGTACTACATGTACTTGTACATCATCAAATGCATGTACGTGTATGTGTACGTGTACGTAGAGCACAAGGCACTGTGGCCTTCTAGTACGGCTTTTCAACCAGCAGCAATAGTACAGCGCTATGGCTGGTCTGGCATCATGGCCTCACAACTCGGCAATGGCCGGTGTGGCACGGAATGTATGTGTCTCGTGCGGCGCTACAGCTCCATGGCTGGCGCGGGAGTTTCATGACCTCCCAGCATGGCGAATAACTACGCATGCTGTGCTACAGCACAGTGGCTGGAGCCAAGTTGGCAACGTGGCCTCACGCGAGTTGGTGTCCGTCGGGCGATTTTCTCTCCGATCTCCTTCATGAGCCTTGGGGCTTGGAGGCGCATCGTCTTGCCGCTTTCAGCTCGTCAGTACCCTGGCGAAGCGTTGGGCTGATAACCTGTTGAAGGAATGATTTGCGCAGAGTTGTTAGGGCAGTACAGAACTGAATGAGGACAAAGGTAGAGAGGATTAGGCGGCCATAGTGAAGAGGAAGTCTTGAATGTAGAAGGAGAAGACGCTTGTGGTGGACTTGGTAAAAGAGGAAGTGGTGATTTAGATAGTCTGGTGTCCTGGAGGGGAGTTATTCTCCACCAACCAGTCCAGTTATATAAGAAATCTCTATATGATATAGCACAATTATATTCCCCTAGATAGTCAGCATCACATCGGAGATGGTTACTTCAACATAAACAAAAGCGCCGCCTAAACACCTTATTATTAATAGTCATGGCATGACTAATTAGAGTGAGTTGTTTGGTCCCTCAATACATTAAGTTCAACGAGTTCTTGTTCCTTAACTTTTTCTAGCAGTACCAAGTATGAATTGTTATTCAACAGTATTCGGTGGCGTGCTGTATTAATACGACGCCATCAGGCGGTACTATTCACGCTCAGCGAGCCATGAACCATCAAGAACCAAGCATCGGGTCGTGTTGAGGAGAACCCCAAAACGCGATTCCGATTTCACCAGTGCTGTACGGATAATCGGCAATACTTCAGTTAGAAGTTCCACGATAAAGCTACAGTGATTGCGTGCATAAAACTATTGACACGTACTGCAAATGGATCCCTTGAAGTTGTCGCTGTTTAAAGAAGCAGGGCGGCAGATCTGCACCGTTTGTTTGCTCTCCGCGACGACGATACCTTTGAGGCCAACGTTACACGGGTTTCGCGATTGGACCACTGCAAAGTGCGCACACAAACAGAAATGAGTACTAGCAGACACTAGATCTCCTCAACTCACCTTCAACCCGGCATCCAGACAGGTCCAGATACTTTAGCTTGGCCTGCAGCTTTGCATTGCGCGTACGCTGCACCTCCTCAGTAACTGGCTGCACTTTACTGAGTTCACTTTCGACCACTTGGCTGACATACCGCGTCCAAATATCATTGAGTTGCTCGGCGTCACTGTATTTCATCTCTCCACCAAGCATATGCAGACCAAGTTTTCTACGCTGACGTGCACTCAGCAGGCTGGCCGTTTGCTTATTACTGGCCACTGCAATCGCCTTCTCCACCGTCTCCGCGGAAGTCGTTTTGAAAGGGTTGTCCAAGGATAACACCTTGTTTTTGAGGCTGTCAACGGCATTTGAGCCTGCCCTCGTGTCCTGCGTCACCGATTCAAGGTAGTTCTTGAGCGTCTCGTGTAGTGCACGCGGCTTCGCCAACGTACTCGCCTGTGGCTGCTATAATAAAGCAAAAATGGGAGCGTCAGTGTAGCAAGAGACAACACTCAACTTTGTTGCAAGCGTGCGCCTTACGAGAGAGCAGTCCTTTAATCCGATGGCGAGTAGCTCAGCATCCATCTTCTCGTACAACGGGTCGGCTTTCACATCCTTCTTCTTATCCTCTCCCTTTGCTTCCTTTTTGCCAGTATCTTTTCCGTTTCCACGCGCATTGCCACCTTTGTCACGCTTCTTGTCCTTGCGTTTACGCTTCGAGTGCTGATAGGCCTGCTGCTTGTTTTCCTTAGGCGCCGCTTGCGCTGCTGCTTGGGTAGTGTACTTGGATATTGCAGGTTGCGCAGCTGATGAAAATGCTGCGTCCAGCGACGACAGTAGGTCGGCGCGCGGCCGCTTCTTGCCCCCACCCGATGACATTCCAACGATTGGTCCAAGTGCTGTAATTGGGATCAGATCTGAGATTATCGGGATGCTAATAACGCTATCTTTACCGTACATTTTACTAAGTCAACGTAAGGGTACACCCTATGCTAGTGACTGCCGCACTTCAATTCAAAAATGGAGGGCGCCGAGCCGGCATTGCCGTGGAGCTCCTGGACCTGCTCCGACGTGGGGAGCTGGCTGTGCGCGCAGGGCTTTCAAGAGCATGTGGACCTCTTCGCTGCCAATAAGATCTCTGGCGCCATCCTGCCGGAGCTCACGCGCAACGCGCTGCGCGACGATGTGGGCATTGCGGCCTTCGGGGATCGAGTGCGGATTTCGCAAGCCATCGAGGCGCTGATTGGGTCTGCATCAACTGGTGATGCGTCTACGCCATTAACCTCAACGTCAGTCACGGCAACGTCAACGACAGCAACTTCTCAGCAACTTAACCAGGCCTGGTTGCCTCGTGATGACAACGCGCTGGACCTCGTGGTGCTGCACGCCGCTCCGCTCGTGATCAAGGATAGCCGCCATCGCATTTACCCTATGGAGAAGCTGGATTTGGAGGCAGAACGCAGGGAGATCATCCATTCTCTGCTCACGGACGTGCAACATAAGGCCATCCACGTGCGCTTCGACATCGCCACTGCGGATATCCTACGCAGTCTCATGACAGCCTGGAAGTGCACGGTGCTACACTTCTCGGGCCACGGATTGGGGCAAAGAGCTGCTCTTTGCTTTGAAGATGGAGCAGGCTGCACACATTTAATTACGCCCGAAGCACTGCGACAGTTGATGTTCTCGGGTGATCGAAGACAGCAGCAGGTGTCAGGAGCAGCGCCAGTAGAGATCAAGACAGTTGACGCTGCAATTGCAGGACCGAAGCCGCTGGATGGCAATGTACAGCTTGTGTTCGTCAATGCATGCCACAGTCAGAAGGTCGCATCGGTGTTCTTAAACGCGGGGATTCCACATGTCGTGGCAGTGCATTCCGACTCACTTGTGGTCGATGCATCGGCTACTATGTTCGCAAAACACTTTTATTTATCACTTTTTCATGGACATACAGTGTCGACAGCGTTCGAGATCGCCAAAGGTGCCGTGCGTGCACTCCCTACACAGAAGAGAGCTGCTTGCTGCTGCGCGTGAGTTTATCTTTTCGTCTGTAGGGGTTATTCACCGTATACTAAGCTGCTTTGTGCTGTGTTTAATGCGCAGACATCTCCACGAGCCGACGTGCACGTGGATGCGAGATGGATCGCGGCATTCGCAGCACAGTGCAACTCAATGCTGTTGCAAGGGTCACGTGTTAGCATTCCCACACGACGAATCCAGCAAATTCTTACTGCTAGGTACAGCTCCACACGATGTTGTGCTTTTCGGTGATATTCCGAATGGGAATCTTCGCGACTACACGCCGCGATATCCGTCCAACATACCGTCCATGCATGGTCAATTTATCGGTCGCAATACTGAAACCTATCTTATGGTTAAATCACTACGCGAGAATGCCGTGACGGCGTGTTTGGGTGCGCCAGGCATCGGGAAGAGCTCTCTTATTATTTCGGTCGCCCATTTTGTGCACAGTCGCCGAATGTTCTCTGATGGTGTGTTTTACGTGGATCTGGAAGGCCAGAAACTCTCAACGGTGCGGTATGCCATCGCTCAGAGCATGGGTATGCCTGCAGCCGACACGGACGAAGAAGTGTTTGCAGAATTAGGGTGAGCAAAGCACGACGTGTTCGAGTTCTTCAGGGGATGACGTTAGCTGCAGTTTTTTTATTGATGCTCCTCTGCATGTACTGTAGGACCAAGAACTGCTTGCTAGTGCTGGACAAGGTTGAGGAGCTGTTGGACGAGGATGAGAACAAGGGCGAAGAACTACTACATCAGCTTATATCTGTTGCCCCGAACTTGAAATTGCTTCTTGCCTCGCGACGCAACATGCACATTCCCAGCGTTACTCCGTACTCACTTTCAATCTCGGAGCTACCACTGCATACGGCGGTAAGATACTGAACGCTGGTTACTGACGTCCACTCATTGACTGACCCCTCGATGCTGTGCACTGTAGACGGAGTTGCTATGTCTTGTCGCACCTGGTTGCTCAACTAGTCTAGCCGAGCGCCTAGCAAGGATTTGTGGATGCCTCCCACTTGCTATCCGCGTTGTGGGTCGTGCGCTTGCTAATGCACGAATGACCGTCACACCTGAGCGTATGATCGAGTACCTGGAGGTAAAGACGGTTATTGTCTCGATCTGACAAATGAACGCCACTAACATTCAGTTTGTTATATGTTCACGTGCAGCGTGACGAACACAGATTCGAGACTATTAGGGAACTCAACCAAGTGGGTCATAAAGAGTGCGTGGATCGATGCATCCGCTCATCGTTTTGCCATTTAGATGAGCCATTGCGATTAGCCTTCATGGCTTTTGGGTTCTTTCGGGGAAGTTTTGAGATCGAAGCTGCTGAAGCAGTTCTTTCAAGTGTTTTCACGGAGCAGAATGCTGCTGGAAAGTTGGCGAAAAGCAGTGGCTATTCCTTGACATCGTCATCGCTAAGTGGTTCGGGTGGGGCAACCACGAATTCTTCGAGCTCGACATATTTTCCTGCAGACGCGTACTCGAAGAACAACCGAAGTCGCAACCGAGATGATGACGCTTCTTCCGTTCGCAGTCTTGGGTCTCAACTTTCGAATATGGATGGCTTTGGCTTCGATAACGACGGAGCCATGACAAATGACAGCTACGACCTGCTCGATCTAGAGAGTAGCGAAGAGGTGAAAGCCCGTGAAGTAATTGTACCGTCGGCAAGTGTAGCTCTTGAGCTTCTTCACCAGTGGTCACTTGTGGAATTCGACTCCAAGACGAATCGATATCGTATGCATAATCTCGTGCAGCTCTTTGCAGAGGAAGAAGCCGGTCGAATGGGGGACGAGTGCTTTGCTGACCAAGCACCTACTTCAAGTCCTAATTCTGCCCCTTCATCGTTTGTGGCGGCATCGATGGGCGCTCCACCGACAAGTATCCTGCTGGGTAAAGAGCTGCTCCTTACATGGAAGAGACGTTTTGTGCGCTACTACTGTATGATCGTTGCCAAGGCATCGCACGCTTACCGTTTTGATGGCACGTTAGCGCTTTTCGACAAGGAACGCGCGAACATTGAATCAGCGATGCGGTTAGCTCATGAACTCACCCAGCAGAGCATTGAACGAGTACGTGAGAGCAACAGCCGTGCCCAACAAGAGCTCGTAAGTGATCAACTTGATGAAGCCCCTCCTAGTTCTGCCAGTACGATGAGGTCACAGAGCGAGCCATCGTTTTTCATGGATGATGGAATTACGCCCAAGCCAAGTATGGAACGTCACAGCAAAAGTTTTGCTGGAAATACAAGCAATAGTAGCAACACTCGGAGATCTACCGGAGGCTCGGCGCTCAATAACTCCTCTATAGTTGACGCGCTTCTGTACAGCAATTTGGTCGTGCGCTGTCGGTTTATTTTTCGAGCACGTGTGGAGCCCCGACGGCGTATTCAGGTGGTCTCCTCGTGTCTGCAGCTCTCAAGAGAGACACGCTCGCTGAATTGCACGTGTAGCAACCGAGAAAATGACCCTGCTACGCTGCTGTGGGACGTGGAAGAGGCCAAATTCGACCGCGAGCTGTCACTACTCGACAAGTTATCTTCTTTTGAAGAGCCGCAATTGCCCGCTGCTGCAGCTGCAGCACATGATCGCTGCACGTGTGTGGGTATCCGTGAGCTCATCGCGTTGGAAGCTTTGCTACTGACGGACCTAGGCTACGCATGCTGCGACGTCACCGACTGGGTGGCAGCAGAGTACCATTATCTTGAATCCTTGCGACTGCAACGAGAGGTTCTAGGTTGGTCGGAGCACCCGCAAGTTGCTGAAGTGCTGAACCAGTTTGGGATCTGTCTGAGTACTCGATGGGGATATCTTGCGCACAATGTCTGGTTGCTGCAGCACGCGGAGCGCCTGTTGAAAGGAGCACTTCAAATGCGAAGCCGAGTGTTAAGCAAGAATCACCCGGAATATGCAACGAGTCTGAACAACTTGGCCAATTTTTACAAGAATTACCCAACCGCTGGAAAGCGTCGATCGCCGTCGGCAGCACAGCGTGAAGAAGCCCGAGAACCAAGAAATCGACATACGAGGGGAGGAAAAGCTGGAGGGCGGAGAGGTGGAGGCGTTCGATCTAGCTCTAGTCCAAGCCCAAGCAGGTCCAATACCAGCAGTGAAAGTCTGAAGAGCGCTAGCCAGGAGAGTTTTAAAACTCAGGGCAAGACCGACGTTGCTACAAGTATAAACGAGGAGGGAGAGCCACGTCCTGATATTGCTAGCATGTATCGTCAATCGCTCAAGATCCGGGAGATAACCCTTGGAGAAAACCACCCACAAGTTGCCCAGTCACTGAATAATTTGGCGCTGTATCTGTCCAACCAGCTCGAAACGCAGCAATTGAGGTAAGTCGAGGAATTCCAGCGGGAAAAGTAGTGGTGGATGCTAATTGTTCTACTTTGTTAACAGTGAGGAGGAGCTGGCTACGCAACGGGCCGAAATCGGGCGTCTATATGAACGGGCACTGCGGATTCGTCGGAGTAGGCTTGGCAACGCTAGTTTCGAGACAGCTGCGACGCTCAACAACATGGGCAATTTCAAGCGCCTAGCGGTATGTCATGAATTAGATCGACTGCGAACACCATTTTTCTAACAGCTTTTCGCTCTTCCACATATTCAGAAAAATTGGCGTGGAGCAGAGGAAAACATCAAGGAGGCACTGCAGATTACAGATCGCTATTTCAATGACATTAGCCCTCGCGCCGCGCGTATATTTATCAATCTCGCTCGTGTGTATCGAGATCAGGTACGCATTTTGTTCTAGGTGAAGTCTCCTCCGCATTTATTTGTAAGGTTAACTTGATCGCTAATACCGTTGTGTCTTCTGTAGAAACGCTACGAGGAGGCCATTACTGCCTACAAGAAAGCACAAGATATCCGTCAGCAGCTCTTTCCGGACACCCGCGACGTTGGGTTTTGCGTCGGTACGATGTACTGTTGAGCTTTTGTATGCTGTACCCTGTACTGATCAACTTGAGCTTGTCCGTTCTACCAGAACAAATTGGAAAATGCTTACGCCTGCAAGGAAAAGAAGAAGAAGGAAAAGCTGTGGAAGAACGAGGAAGGCAGATGAAAAAGCTTGGACTTTCAGCACTGGAACAAGACGAGATGGGGCAAGATGGAAGCAGCAGCAGCATGAGTGGCGAGACCAACAGCTTTAAGCACGCAGTGCTAAGTGGTGATAGCGTAGAGGGCTCTGTGTCCTCTGGTCACCTGTTTGCAAAGGTCAACGTGTACGACAGTGTTGACGCTGAGGCGCTTGTTTCACGCAAGTTCAATTTCCCGGGTAAATTGCTGGGCGAGCGTGGCCTACACTTTAAAAAGATCGAGGCCATTGCATGCGCTCAGCTGCGCTACTTCGGACCATGGCCACAGACATTGAGTAAGTGGGGCAAGGGCCGGGCTGATGGCAAGAAGGACACCCCTCCACAGTCGATGCCGGAAGCCTACATTCAGATTACCAGCACGTCCGAGGCAGTACGCTACCTTATTGCGATCTCAAGTTTATGTAAAAGTGCTGACGATATGTAATTCTCGTATGTAGGCTTTGGAACGTGCAAAAGAGCAATCGGTGCAGCTTTTACGTGAGATGAAACTTTCATGGGAACGATTTCTGGCTCGCACTGCCGCGCATCAAGGCGGTGCTGGGCATCGTGGCCAGCCACCTCCGCTTCATCACCAACATAGCCGAGGTGCTGGTGCCAGTCGTGGAGGAGGAAGGGGTCGGCATTTACATTTGCATCGATCTCCAATGTCGACGCAACTTCCACGATCAAATAGCTCTGCATCTACTGGTGCGTGGGGTGGTATGGCGTGACTTACCAATATGTATGTGTTGAAGGTTTATCGCGAAAAAAAAGTGTAATATTTGTAAGGTACGGAAATTCACGCATCTGTGGTGGACTCATGTGACATCAATATCTTCAGACTCAATGGCTTCAACGACCTTCGCGCAAATTGCATGGCATTTCTATCGCTGTGCAAGCCGAACAAATTCAAAATCTCTATGTGGGGGGAGGCAAAGTTTGACTGCTTTCGTCGCGCTACATGCCGCCCGCCTTCACTACTTTCTTGCCCATACTTATCTTGCCTATTTTGTGCTGCTTGGTCAGCACCGTCGGCACTGCAAGCGCGCCAGTGCAGGGCTCACTCGCCAACTTCTGCAGCTCCTTTAAAGACTTGGGTTGCGAGTTGAAAATCTCATTCACACGGCGTCGGAATGCGACGGTCACTTGTCCAAACTCCATGTATCCCTAGAGGAGCAGTGAAAACAACGATGTCAGAATCATACAAACAACACTCTGCAAAAAAAGAACAGGGACTGACTTACCGCTCCCATTTCGACGAAAAGCGAGTCCATAATCGGGAAGAGCAGGCAAAAGATGGTCTCGAACACGTGATTCTCTGGCTCGTTGATGACATCGTCCCAGCACTCGTAGGCACTTAGAGGTCGCGACGACACATAAGACTTCGCTGGTTTTGAAGACCTTGACTTCGAAACACTCTGCGCAATCAAACGACTGTATGTCTTCATCGCGTTCGGTGAACAGCCTTCCGAGTGTGTACCGGCGTCGCCCAACCCAAGTGTTTCAGTCAAAAGTGATGCCACGTTGATGCACGCAATGGCCAGAGGGTAATTCTTCATGTTGCCTTCACTCACGCCATGTCTTGTGCGCTTCAGGATGCGCTGGAACTCGCTCGACGGATAGCTGGCAAAGAAAATGAGGCAGTACAGACCTAGCAGCCCACTTGATCGAAGATCAGACGCTGGACCTCCTCGTTGGAAGCCAATCTCCAGCCACTTCGGGTCGTTATTTGACGTGAACGGTTCTCCCGGGAAGACGAGCTCCCAGAGTTTAGTGATCATCATGTTCACCGTCTTTTGATCCTTCGGTGGGCCATTCGGCTCGGGTGTCACTTTAGCCTTAAGCAGTTTTCGTAGTCGAGAGACACAGGACTGAAAAGCCGTGCGGATTTTTGCTCGTTCTTTCAGCTCGATCTCAATAATCTCTGAGGGCATACACATGGCCGCTGAGATGGCATCGTACCAGGCGCGGCACACTGCAGTGGACGGGCATGCTAGAGCCAGGCGTCCAATACAAAGAAGACGTTTCTCTTCTCGGACCGACAGCCGAAGACCCTTAAGCGCGATCACATACCACGGCCGCGTGCTGGTATCTCCATCGGCTGGATAAAACACGATACAGTTTTCGTGAAGACAGACGAACAAGCGACCTCGCAAAGTGGCGTGTGGTCCAGCATTCTTCGTCTCGAGAAGACCGGTTTTAAGTGTCAAGCGAGAGGAACGCTTTTCCAGATCCTCACCAGTTACCACGTTGTCAACGATGCGCTGCAAAATCGCGAACAAATCATCTCGTGCCTCCATTGTATCCAGGAAAATGGGCCAAGATCGATGCCGTCCGTGGAAATCAATGCTAATACCATACTCCTCGCCTCTGGTGCGTACGTTGCTCGCTGATATGGCACGAATATCTGTAAAATGAAAAGTCGTCAGGGTTTCCCCTCGTCGCGAATTAGTAAGGGTTTGTTCCGCAAAGTTCAGCTCCAGAACTCGAGTTTGAAGTCGATTCCGTGAGCTACACTTGCGCACACCATAGCGAACTAGAAATCCCTGGATTCCTGCTTCACGCCACAGTTGCTGGAAGTCGGTGGCACCGTCAAATGTCGAGCAATTCCCCGAGTTAATAGCATTCTGAATCGCACACACCCACTGCGTCATATCATAGCTGGAAGTCGCTACCAAACAATATTCCCGACGTGAGGAATCTGCAGATGTCTGGACCTTGAATTCGTTCTCCTTTGCGTGTTTGCTTGTGACAACCACGCACCGCGATGTAGAACTGAGATCGATCGTTTTAGTTGGCGATCCTTCAGTGTCGTCCTTGGCATATGTCAACATCGGACCCTGTGGCATCCGACGCAGCGTAACCCAGCGTTTTCGATAGCTTGGGACTACATCGCCGCGTTTAGAAAGCCACCCCTGTCGAATAATATCTTCTGGTGTGGACGTCCTCTGCATGGTCGACCTACGGTACGATCCCAGAGACTTCGCTCCGCCTTCCTGATCCTGCAGACTCTGTCCTAGTCGTTCCAAATACACTTCACGTCCGAACTGTGGGTTAAAGTGTGCAAGATCGCTCATAGTGAAAGGTCGGTCCGGTTGCATCTCTGCAACCATCCGCGACTCGACATTTAAAGACTTGGTGATGTACCCAGCCAGTGATGCCTCGATGCGTTGCTCGTACGAGCTCTGATCTCCGTCACTCAATCGTCTAGTCGAGCGTTTCCGATGGGGTGAAGGCGCTGAGAGGCTGTCGACACTGAGTTCCCCCTCAGACGCGAAGGAAAGGGACCGATCTGTGTCTTCGCTGATACTACGCTGACTCGAGGACTGTCTGGCGTAGCTGCTGCCGCTGCTGGGTTGCGTGACGCTCAATGTTGCGGGGGTGCGTTCTTCGATGGGGCCGATGGTCACGTCGTCGTCCAGCTCATCTTCTTCAATGCCGTAGCCCATTAAACCCGTAGGTCGCCCGTAGCCTCCCATGATGCTGTCATAATCGGCCGCTAATCGTGCAGACTCACGGCGCCCGAAGACCATGTCGCTGCCGATCATGGAGCAGCCCAGTAAGTTATCCTGTGTATAGATGCTTGCTCGTACGAGGTCAGCGTCGTTTTCCACGTCGGCTCCGGCATCTTTCCTGATGAGATTCTACATAAATAAATAACGGACATATCAAGAATTAGAGAAATAAATAAAATGTGTCAGAAATGTCCAACACTTTATGCCGTACGTCCAGGGACCAGAGCAGATCGTCCGACACTTGGTCGCTCATGACGAACTGCAGGCGGCGGTGGTAAGTTCCGAAGTGCGACGTTCCTTTGGCGAGTTACGACCTGAAGGGGGGAGTTGGTTCAGTGCGCCCAGATGCCTTGAGCTTCTGTCTGCTCAACGAGCACGAGAGTTACCCGGAATAGTCAGCGCGTGCAAACGTAACGCCGACAATTGCAAGTGCGGTACACAAATGCTACGTAAAGTGCAGCGACAGAACGACTATCCGGACTGATTTTTGCCACCGAACGAAGTGTAAAACATAAACTATCACCGAACCTCAAAGGATCGATCGACAAGAAGGATGCAAGACACGGAGATGACGAGTGCCGAAGAGAAAGATGAAGAGATGCTGGTGCAGCGCGAAGACAGCGGTGCGAGTGGAGGTGGAGAGCGGCAGATTCAGATCCACCCGCTGGTGATTGTCAATATCGCGGATCACCAGACGCGGCAGAAGTGCAACTCGCAGCTGAGCCAGACTGAGGCGCCACAGGTCATTGGCGCGCTCTTTGGCATCCAGAAAGGCCTGGATGTGGACGTGTACGACTCGTTTGAGATGAAATACGACGTTTGTAATGGAGATATTCAGATTGACAAGGAGTTTCTCACTTCGCGCATCCAGCAGTGTGCGTGGCTTAAATAATAGCTAGGAAGGACTGCTTCTCGTGAGATTGACTTTGTTTTGCAGTTTCGCAGGTATTCCCAGGATTCGAGCTGCTCGGGTGGTACACAGTGGGAGCTAAGGCTCTTCCCAGTGATCTGGCGGTGCACCGTGTCGTAAGTATTGACTGATGAAATGGCTGTTGCTTGTTTTGACTAACCGTGTCGTGGTGGTGCAGGTCATGGAGTTCAATGAGAGTCCGCTGTTTATGATCCTAGATCCAGAATCTAAGGGACCGAGCACCAAGAAGAAGCTGCCGATATCGCTATTTGAGTCGGAGTTGCATATGCTCAACGGGGTGCCCAAGATGATCTTTGTCAAGGCACCGTTTAAGATCGAGACGTCCGAAACAGAAGGCATAGCCATCGATCACATCTCGAAGATCGCACCTGTTGGTGATGCCAGCAAGTCGTCGTGTACGTGCTTGAACTGACGCTGTACTGAGAAACTATTGTATTGACGTTTTGTTTTGGTGTTGGTCGCTGCAGTGCACCCTTACTTAGGCAACGTCCGAGACGCCGTGAAGATGCTGGACCGGCAGGTGGATGTGCTGCTACGCTTTCTGCAGACAATGAAAAACGGTGAGGCGCCTCTAAACCACAACCTGTTGCGCCACATCTCGAGTATTTGTAACCAACTGCCAGCAATGAAGTCAGAGCATTTCGACACGGCGTTCGCGCAGGAGTACAACGACGCGCTTCTGGTCTCGTATCTGGCTGCTCTCACGAAGGGCGCTACCAACGCCAACACTGTCGTCGATCGATTCACCACCACGCAGGAGCGTCACCACCAGCGAGGCACGCTGCTGTGATTGACGATGACGACCGTAGGATCGATCGCTTTTATGAATTTACAACCGTCCTAAAAAAATTCTCTAAAAACGAGCCGTAGGGCGACAGAAACGCCTACCAATGTCATCAATATAACCTAGTTCGGTGGCAGCAGCGAATTTTCCCTTCGATGGCTCATACGTGGACTTGCCCCACAACCAGTCCAATCAATCCAAGATGCCGATCGATATCAACCGCCTCCGCCCTGAGCGTGGCGGCGACCCGGACGCCGTGCGTGCCGAACAGAAGAAGCGCTCGCTGGACGTTGACATCGTGAACAAAGTGATCGAGCTGGATGAGCAGTGGCGTAAGAAGCAGGGCGAAGTGGAGACCATCAGCATGAAGATGAACGCTTTGCAGCAGGAGATCAAGAAGCTCAGTAAAGCCAAGGAGGACTTCAAGGCGCTCAGCGATGAGCGTAAGGAGCTGGCTGCTTCTCTTCCCGAGAAGAAGAAGGAGGCTGACGCTCTCAAGGAGCTCGTGGACAAGGAGCTACCCAAGATAGGTAACACCGTGGACCCCACGGTTCCTATCTCGAACAACGAGGACGACAACGTGGTTGTCAAGACGTGGGGTTCTCCCATTCAGAAGGACGGACTGCACTTCCACCATGAGGTGCTGCACCGTATCGACGGCTACGAGCCTGAGCGTGGCGTGCAGGTCGCTGGCCACCGCGCCTACTTCCTCACTGGCTACGGTTTCCTGCTTGAGCAGGCGCTTATGGCTTACGCTACGGCCTTTCTGATGAAGGCCCAGTACAAGATGCTGAAGCCTCCTTTCTTCATGAACAAGGAAGGCATGGCCGCTGTCGCACAGCTTGACGACTTCGACGAGCAGCTGTACAAGGTCATCGGAGAGGACGAAAAGTACCTCATTGCCACGTCCGAGCAGCCTATTTGCGGCTACCACAAGGGCGAGTGGATCACGGAGAGCTCGCTGCCTTTGCGTTACGGTGGCTTCTCCACCTGCTTCCGTAAGGAGGCTGGCTCGCACGGCAAGGACACGTGGGGTATCTTCCGTGTGCACCAGTTCGATAAGATGGAGCAGTTCTGCATCACGGACCCGGAGAGCTCGGCTGCGATGCACGAGGAGATGCTGCGTCACGCTGAGGAGTTCTATCAGTCGCTGAACTTGCCGTACCGTGTGGTGAACATTGTGTCGGGTGAGCTGAACAACGCCGCTGTCAAGAAGTACGACCTGGAGGCGTGGTTCCCTGCCTACAAGGAGTACCGCGAGCTCGTGTCGGCCTCCAACTGCACAGACTTCCAGTCGCGTGCGATGGAGATCCGTTGTGGCGTCAAGAAGGAGAACCAGCGCGAGAAGAAGTACGTGCACATGCTCAACTCGACGCTCTGCGCGTCTACGCGTACGGTCTGCTGTATTCTTGAGAACTTCCAGGACGAGAACGGCGTTAAGGTCCCGGAGGTGCTAGTGCCCTTCATGGGTGGTGCCACGTACCTGCCTTTCACTCGCGAAGTCAAGGTAAACTTGCAGGCGACTAAGATGCAGAAGGCTGCCAAGAAGAAAGGAAGCAAGCAGTAAGCGTACCCAGATATAGTGTAGCTAGCGAGACCAGACACGTCCTCGCTCATCTGCACAACACGTTGTCATTGCGCATGAACTCTACTCTTGTTGCCTCTCTTTGGTCTCATCTGCAATTGCACTTTTACACTGTCGTCGGTTTTTAACTCGCTAAGACCAAGTTTCATAAGGATACGAGCCAAACTCAAAGGGTGTTTGACTTACGACTTGGCTCCTTTTTTGAAGAAAAGCGGCGGTGGAAGTTCTCGCGGGAATAACAGTTCGCCTTTAAAAGTATCGACGGGAATGCTTCGTTGAGAGTTTGAAGATCGACATCTATGAACAATACGACGCGGATTCATTGCATCCTTTGAAGCCGAGCTTCTCTTGTAGTACAATGTGTACTGGTCAATACATGAGTTCTTTGTCTTCGTCTTCGCCAACTCTCCATTTCCGGTGCCTCCCCCTTCGTTGCTAGAGTTCCGCAGTGATAGTAATGCTGAATTCGACTCAGCAGCATCTCCAACGAGCATTTCCTCGTCACACTGGACGCTCGAGTCCTGCACCTCGACTTCTATGTCTACTTTATCCACTTTTTCTCTGTTTGTATCCGTCGCAGTGGTGTGGTTCTCCTTTAACTCATTCTCGTCTTCATTTTCGGTAGTCGATGGTTTCTCCTTCTCCACGAAGGAACTTGCTTGCTGTGACTTGTTCACCTGCACACCCAACGCCTGCGTCAGATGTGGGGCCAAAGCTTTGCCCAGACACGACAGTGTGACGGCTCCAGTCACACTGCCCACAGCAACGTTGTGGTGATCTCGGAGCTCCCATGTGCCGCTGTGACTCGCCCATTCACAGATGCGAAGCAGTCTGCTGCCTCTCAGTTCGTCTTCATCCAGTAACCCAATGTCTAGATGCAAAGGCACAGCAGCAAAAGCTCGCAGTCGGGCCCTACCGTGCTCCTTGGCAAGTACTAGTAGTGTCAGTGGAGTTTCAACGTCTCGCTGCAGCTCTTGCGCGAGTTCATCTGGGTCCACTTCGAAGAGACAGGATTTGCCATGGCACAGTCTTGTCACTGCAGGTTCGGTCTGCGTAGTAGAGACCTCTTGACAGGCTAAGGCGTCGTCAAATACGACGATCTCGTATTGTAGCAACTGGAAAGCAAGAAGCAAGGGAATGGAAGGCGACGATGACGCCAATGCCTGGTTTAACGTGACCCGATCCACGTAAAATTGAATCGAGAAGAGCAGACAAGCTCCACCATGTGTGGGTAAGCTGGGACTGCCACAAGACTCCACAGAGACCATGGCATCGACTTCTGCAAAATCACCGTCCTTCATCGTGCGGGTTCGGCGTCTATTAACCCTCGTGGAACCAGGATTTATTCTGCATTTTTAGCCCTAGGCATCGTGATTCTACCAATTTAGCTCAAAATCCACCGTCTATTGGTTTCTTTGAGTTTCGACGATTTCTTCATCGACATCTGCTTACTTGCCTTCGACCGCTGCCTTGTGAGGAAGCGCGAGATACTTGATGAAGTTGCGCGTCTCACAGTGGCGAATGTTCTCGTCCATCACGTCGGCGTCTAGCCCGAGGCGCCATGCAATGTCGTAGCGGGACGGATCGATGTGCAGATTCTCAAGGTCGTCTACATATTGGTCGGCGCTCTTCATGTCTGCGAAGAATCCTAGTCCCACAAGCTTAGCTCGGCGGCAGTACGTCAGTCGGGCAAGCTCGTGCAGGTCGTACTCCGGGTGGTATTGCACAGCCCAGAAATTTCCCTTCTTGTGGCGCACAGCTACAGCCTGTACTGCTGTGAAGTCGTTACCGCCCAGGTTAAGTCCCCCTGGAGGCATGTGGGTCACTTCATCGTTGTGGCTCGTGAACGCATCGAAGACCGACGGCTTGCCCTCGAACATCGGGTGTGCCCGGCCCTCCGGAGACAACTCGATCTTGCGCGCAATGCCCATCTCGCGGCCACGTGGGTTGGGCCCGCAGTGACCTCCAGCAGCAGCCACCGCGATCTGAGCCGCCCAGCAGCTACCGTACTGCGGAATACCTACAACACCTCATGTTAGCTGCGTTTATCCGTAAGCTCGCGAGTAGTTGCGAATACTCACCTGCCTCGAAGACTTTCTTGGCAAAGTCAATCTGCTTCGTAACACGAATATCTTCGGCATCGTGGATTGTCAGTGAGCAGCCCGTCCACGCCACTGCGTGATACTGTCAGCCCAGAGAGAGAAAAAAATGGGTCAGTTCTCGTTGCAAGTGTTCAAAGCTCTGCACCTCACCTTGGACAGTTCGGGTGTCTGGAAGTCGCTGTCCGCGGGATAAACAACATCCGAAGCTACTTCCACACCAGCAGGTGCCGAATTGTTGAGCAGGTCGATGTAGAGCTTTCCAGCCGTGCTGGCGCCACCAGCTTCAAGGTCCGCGCGGCCCTCAGGCGAGTAACCATCGATGACCAGTACTTTCAGCGGGGAAGGAGACGCTGCCGAGCTCAGCGCGCGCGAGGCGACGGTCGACTGGAGACACGCACGTCGGGAGAAGCGAGTCAGCATGATGGATATACGGTCTTGGTGCAATTGCGAGAGTGACGTCGCTTACCTCGACTGATAATATGGTGTACAGAACATCATTCTCAGTTTGCGCAAGTTGAAGTGCACATCTTCAAAGATCGGTGACGCGAATGTGCTGACGGTGACGAGGATTGTGCAGATGGTGGAGGTTGCGGTAGGACACCATCAGCAGCTTACAGTACATGTACATGTTAGTCGTGGTCCTCTGATCGTCCAGGAGTGCTGGCAGTCACACTGATACGAGAACCTGGCAACGAACGTCCAGGAGCTCGACACTATTGGACGATGAGCAACACTGCGAAAGCTTCCATGCAAAGTTGCATGGTGAACTAATTTAGCTCGCGTTTAGTTACTAAACGCGCTTCGGAAGAGAGTTTTTTTGAAAGACAACGCCAAAGGCCCATGCAGACAAGATCCAATTACTACAGGTAACATCGGACTCGATGAAGTGACCTTGACCATGAGCTACGATCACATGTCAATATCAAATTTGTGATGGTACTGGGTGCGACCCGAGTCTGGTCTACAGGTCTGTTACAGACTCTGTAGTACATGTACAGATCGTACCAGCAACGCTGGCCCAGCAATCATTGCTGGCAGCATGCAGCAAGCACTGCTTTGCTTGCCAAGCAGGATTCAAGCACGGTGCCTGGAGGAGTCCCTCTATCCTTATTGGATCTCATGAGTCATGAGTCATGACGATGGCCGCGTCGCTTATCACCTCATCCAAAGTTCGCTACACAATATTCCGGTGACTGCAGCCTTATCCTATCTTGATGTGACGTTCACTATCGCAAGTGCGTTATACCCGCTGTATCTCCGCAGAAACCTCTCCCCTCCACCCCCACTATGAGTGTCATCGGAAGTCGACTGGCTGGCCAAGTGGCCGTGATCACGGGTGCCGCTGGCGGCATCGGCCGTAAATCGGCCATTCTGTTCGCCAAGCAGGGCGCTAAGGGAGTTGTGTGCGCCGACCTGAACGCGGACGCCGCGGCGGAGACCGTCAAGATCGTGCAAGAAGAGCTCAAGAAGCTTGGCAAGAGAGAAGGCCTCGGAGCCTTCCCGTGCGTTGGTGGTCTGCACCGGAGCGACACGGTGGCTCTGGCTATCAAGGCCGACGTGTCCAAGGCCAGCGATGTGGAAAACATGGTGAACGTGGCCGAAAAGGAGTTCGGTGCGCTCAACGTCCTCTTCAACAACGCCGGCATTATGCACAGCGCGGACGACGACGCCATCGCCACCCAGGAGGACGTTTGGGATCTTACCATGAATATCAATGTAAAGGGCGTCTTTCTCGGCTGCAAGTATGGCATCCCGGCCATGCGTCGTGCCGGTGGCGGCTCCGTCATCAACACGGCCTCGTTCGTGGGCATCCTAGGCGCAGCCACGCCCCAGCTCGCCTACACATCCAGCAAGGGCGCTGTCATTGCCATGTCTCGAGAGCTGGCCACGATCCACGCTCGCGAGAACATCCGCGTGAATGCCCTATGTCCCGGTCCGCTCAACACCGAGCTGTTGCAGAAGTTCCTGGACTCGGAGGAGAAGAAGCAACGCCGTTTGGTGCATGTGCCTATGGGTCGTTTCGGAGAGGCTGCAGAGATGGCCAAGGCTGCACTCTTCCTTGCTAGCGATGATGCGTCGTACATTACTGGCACCTCCTTCGTTGTTGACGGCGGTATTACATCTGCCTACGTGACGAGCGAGGGTCGTGTCGACCCTTTCGGAGGCCCTAGCGAGGTGTAGGACGCAGAAACTATTGGTGATTTCCTCGTAGGTGTTGGGAAGGACAGTAGAGAAAGCATGATCTAACACACAAATATGTAGCCCGCGTTACATTAGTCGGCAGCGTTGGCAATACTTCAGCACTACTACATGTACTTCTACATGTACTTCTACTGTTGTACTATGTGTAGTAGAAGTAGCTCTTCGAAGTTCACAATAAAAGGGATCATGCCAAATCGATTGATTTCTTGTCTGAAATTTGTTCACCACTGCAGTCATCTATCCACCTGCAGAGCAACCTTCGTTTTCTGTAAACTCTAAACACGGAAGTTCCACTACACACCAACCAAGCACAGCGTTAGTAGAGAAATGAGAGCAAGTAATGAACACTAGCACTTACCGCTTTGAGCTTCGTGACGCCACGGAATCCGTGCTTTGAGAGGCTGACGCCCTTGCCGGAGTCACGGTTGCCAGTCCACGGGAGATAGGGGTCAAGCACGTCGCATCGATTCATGTACACCGTTCCAGCGCTAATCTGCGAGCCCAGAGCCATAGCGTGCTCACGGTCTGATGAGAATACCGACGCTGTCAGTCCGTACTTGCTGTCGTTGATTTTCTTGATGGCTTCAGCATCCGATGACACACGTTCAACACCGACAATCGGTCCGAAGGATTCCTCCGTCATGATGCCCATGGAGTCATTACAGTTCGCAAGCAGGGTAGGCGAGTAGAAGCGGCCTTTTCCAGCTGCGTCCGAGATTCCGCTTCCCGTCAGCTGTAGAGCACCCTTCGCCACTGCGTCCTTCACATGAGCATCGAGCATTTCCGGAGCAGTAGGAAGTGCCATCGGACCCATCGAAGTGTTGGCGTCCGTCGGGTCACCCAAGTTGTAGGCCTCAAACAAACTCTTCGCCTTCTCCAAGAATTGGTCGTACTTGGACTCGTGGACGTAGATCCGCTCCACACCGCAGCACGACTGACCGGCATTGTAGCAAACACCATCCACAAGGCCCTCTGCTGCGGCTTCAGCGTCAGCTTCAGCAGTCACGTATCCAGCGTCCTACAACAAGGTAGTAGGTATTAGCGCTCGAGACTCAAAAGCAAAGAAGCGGTAGCTGGCCTACATTTCCGCCCAGCTCCAAAGTCACATCGATGGAGCGTTGGGATGCTACTTGTTGTACTTGTCGTCCGCTGTGGTGGGGGATCCATACTATTAGAAAGCGGGCCCACAAGTTGAAAAACACGACAGACGTACCCTCGGACAGACCCCGTAAACGATACGAATGCCGTCTCCGGGCGCTGGATGATCTCTGAAGCCGTGTCGTGCTCAACAAATGACGACTGGAGCACGTTCTTCGGGAAGCCCGCTTGCTCGAACGTCTTTTGATAGTGCTCTCCGCATAGAGGAGTGCGAGGCGAGTGCTTTAGCAGCACCGAGTTACCGGCCAAAACAGCGGGGATGATCGAGTTGACTGCTGTCATGAGAGGATAGTTCCATGGAGCCTGTTTCCAGTTGCAGAGCATTAGGTGCGACTAGTGAAAGAGAAGGAGTTCAAACCACGTACAATAACATAAACGACGCCGACAGGATCGTGCGTGATCTGGCGGAACAGTCCATTCTCTTCCGGGAATGAATCTGTGCGGAGGGCCTCGTTGGAGAGGTAGATGAGAGCCCTATGCAGCAAATAAGCAAGGTTAGAATTGCCCCAAAACTGAGCTTATGGCACATCGTACTTGGCACGGTCAATGGTACCGTTGACCTCGTTGCGAGCTTGTTGCACAGGCTTCCCCATCATGCCAGAGATCTCATGTGCAATGGATTCGGAGTTGCTCTTGAGGGCGGCAATCCACTTGGTGCACAGCGCCTGACGCTCCCTGAGTGGCACGTTCTTCCAATCGAGCTGAGCCTTCACTGCCGCATCGAGCTTGGCGTGCGCCTCAGCCTTCGAGTCATAATCGACCTCGCAGAAGGTCTCGCCCGTGTATGGATTGTCCACTTTCAGTCTGCAACAGCAGCGAGCAATATTTTCAACTATGGAGTGTCTTCGATGTAGCGGGCAATTGCTCTTTTAACGTACGAGGAAGCAGCGAAGCCGCGCTGGGAAGAGACCTTGGCGACTTGACGAGCGGTTGTTGCGAGCTACAGTAGCAGCAGTGAGTTCACTGGCAGGAACCTCGCGGACTCAAAGTTGCCAGGGATACCTGAGTGGTGTGGCGAAACATTTCGGATTGAGGAGCTGTTGGTGAATGGCAAAGTGATCTGCAACGTCATCTGTTTCGATTAGATCCCTTGGCTAGCGCCACCAAACGCTTTTGATTCGCTGATAATTCAACCGCCCACTCCCGTCGCATCCCCTCAAGGTAAGGACGCGATGGCGTGTCGCCGCGTTCGACTGCTCCGCCGATCTCCACTCACCAACAAGATGCTCAGGCGCGTGGCTGCTCGCTCGCCGCTGCATGCGTCTAAACTTAAGCTCCTGCACACGAGTGCGGCTGCGACTCCTGATGATCAAGACGGCATCCGATACCTGGTGATTGACGGCTATGTGAAAACGGGCCGAGATGTGCTGGAGGCTGGTGGTGCCACCACCGCTGGCCAGTTGTACGCCAACATGCTTGTCAAGGCCACAAAGCGCAGCGTCGATCGCTCCGCATCGTACGACCTTATCTATCGCCGCATTCGCCCTTGTACACCACGAACTCGTCGGCTCCCAGGCCGCGCACCTCCTGCTCCTTTTAGTTGGAGCGCGAGAACGCCGTCACGGAGGCGGCACCCATAGCCTTGGCGAACTGGATGGCAATGTGGCACAGGCCGCCAATGCCCACGATGTCGACACGGTCACCCTCCTTGATACCGGCTTCCTTAAACGGCGTGAACACCGTCGTGCCGGCACACATCAGAGGAGCAGCCACGTCCGACGGAATGTTATCCGGGATCTTGATCGCAAACTCGTGCGGCACACGGAGCCTCGGGGTCCTTGTTCAGACACGCCGACACCAGCGCTCCGACACCCACACGGTCGCCGACCTGCAGGCCCTTGATGTCGGGACCAGCCTGCGTAACTTCGCCGACGATCTCGTGTCCCACCACGCACGGATACGTGGTCTGTCCCCAGCCGCTGTCAAGCGTGTGCAGGTCTGAGCCGCAGATGCCGCAGTGCGAGATCTTGATCTCGACGTCTTCGGCGCCGAGCGGGCGAGACTGGTACTCCCAGGATTTGATTTGCCGAAGGAAGCTCTTGCTTGGCGATGCGTAGCTCCTTAAATCGCTCCTAAATCGAATTCTAAAGTCAAATGTTGACTTTAGAATTCGATTTTCCAGAGCAAATATTTCCAGCTGGTCACAAATTAGAAGCGCGTTATTTTCTTAATAACCGGTATAAGAAACAAATTTACTACGTGTATTACTTTAAGTTCAGATCTATACTTCAACCCCAGCTAAGCGTAAACGTACAGCATTTTGGTCTTGTAAGGCCGGAAGCAAAATCTCCGGCGCTACCAACGCGGCTACAATCTCGTTCCTATATATTAACTCGGTGTTCGTTCGAGGAATTATATCCTGCAGATATGCCTCGAATCTCTCTCTCTCTCTTGCAAGTTGAAGTCGAAGACCCTCAGTTCGGCGTTCCTGTCTTGCTCGCAGCTGCTGTATCTGACGGGCACATTGTTCTGGCGACGCACGATCGCGTAGCAAGCGACGATGAAGCGCTCGCACTGCAGCCCGGTGCGAGCTTCGACAGTGCTCTGTAACAGCACGCTGACGGCGTCTACACTCGGTCATCTCATCTTGAATCTCACGCTGGCGCCGTCTGTCTTCGCGAGCAACTACATTCCGCGCGGATCGACGACCGCGATTTGCATCGTCTCTCATCAATGTGAAGACTTCCTGCACATTTAGTGAATCTCTTGTGAATGTGACGTATTCAAAAGACTCACTGTGACGACATCGGTCTCGAGCGTATCTCGTCATACCGCGGGCGTGATAACGCATGCGAAAACGTCGGAGTCTGTTGCGCATTGCATTCTCCACGTCATGAAGGAAGTTTGTCTCAGGAAGCAAACCCGTAAGTGCATGGCGTAAAATAAGTCTTAGCTGGTCTGGCGGGTAATTTTTGCCGATCACGAGCTCATTTGGTAGATACGATCCTCGATCTCCAATCGAAGTACTAGTAAATCCATATTTACAGACGAAATGGCCTCGATTTCAGATATGGGATGTTGAAATAGCCAGTAGTGGAATTTGGGTGCAAATTGTGATGTTCATCCTCGTCGGTCATTGGTGACAGCTCAAACATATACTCGCCCGCCTCATCATAAACGGGATGTGGGTCTCCAAGCAGCTACTGTACTCAATAGGTATTTCGAGATACTGCCGTGCAAGTCGGTCTTGATCCTCCATCATCTGCGCTTTTCGTTGCAAATTGGAGAATGAAATTAATACATGTATGCATGATTCCTCGTGCTAATATGTCTCCAGGTCGATAAATATGTCTGAGCGAAAATTTCATAAGACAATACCGACACTGAATTGATCGCCACACTCGTTTCGCGTCTCTCTAGAAGAAACCTCGAATGTCACCAGGTCGATAAATATCAGCCAGCAGCCTTGAAATTGTTTGTATGATTCTTCGACTGTAGCATTTGTATGTGCTCTAGAGTCGGCAACCTAAAATACGTATGTACCAAAATATATAACTAGTCTGGACTTGGAAACTCTCGGACCAGAGGACGTTTGGGATCTTACCATGAATATCAATGTAAAGGGCGTCTTTCTCGGCTGCAAGTATGGCATCCCGGCCATGCGTCGTGCCGGTGGCGGCTCCGTCATCAACACGGCCTCGTTCGTGGGCATCCTAGGCGCAGCCACGCCCCAGCTCGCCTACACATCCAGCAAGGGCGCTGTCATTGCCATGTCTCGAGAGCTGGCCACGATCCACGCTCGCGAGAACATCCGCGTGAATGCCCTATGTCCCGGTCCGCTCAACACCGAGCTGTTGCAGAAGTTCCTGGACTCGGAGGAGAAGAAGCAACGCCGTTTGGTGCATGTTCCTATGGGTCGTTTCGGAGAGGCTGCAGAGATGGCCAAGGCTGCACTCTTCCTTGCTAGCGATGATGCGTCGTACATTACTGGCACCTCCTTCGTTGTTGACGGCGGTATTACGTCTGCCTACGTGACGAGCGAGGGTCGTGTCGACCCTTTCGGAGGCCCTAGCGAGGTGTAGGACGCAGAAACTATTGGTGATTTCCTCGTAGGTGTTGGGAAGGACAGTAGAGAAAGCATGATCTAACACACAAATATGTAGCCCGCGTTACATTAGTCGGCAGCGTTGGCAATACTTCAGCACTACTACATGTACTTCTACATGTACTTCTACTGTTGTACTATGTGTAGTAGAAGTAGCTCTTCGAAGTTCACAATAAAAGGGATCATGCCAAATCGATTGATTTCTTGTCTGAAATTTGTTCACCACTGCAGTCATCTATCCACCTGCAGAGCAACCTTCGTTTTCTGTAAACTCTAAACACGGAAGTTCCACTACACACCAACCAAGCACAGCGTTAGTAGAGAAATGAGAGCAAGTAATGAACACTAGCACTTACCGCTTTGAGCTTCGTGACGCCACGGAATCCGTGCTTTGAGAGGCTGACGCCCTTGCCGGAGTCACGGTTGCCAGTCCACGGGAGATAGGGGTCAAGCACGTCGCATCGATTCATGTACACCGTTCCAGCGCTAATCTGCGAGCCCAGAGCCATAGCGTGCTCACGGTCTGATGAGAATACCGACGCTGTCAGTCCGTACTTGCTGTCGTTGATTTTCTTGATGGCTTCAGCATCCGATGACACACGTTCAACACCGACAATCGGTCCGAAGGATTCCTCCGTCATGATGCCCATGGAGTCATTACAGTTCGCAAGCAGGGTAGGCGAGTAGAAGCGGCCTTTTCCAGCTGCGTCCGAGATTCCGCTTCCCGTCAGCTGTAGAGCACCCTTCGCCACTGCGTCATTCACATGAGCATCGAGCATTTCCGGAGCAGTAGGAAGTGCCATCGGACCCATCGAAGTGTTGGCGTCCGTCGGGTCACCCAAGTTGTAGGCCTCAAACAAACTCTTCGCCTTCTCCAAGAATTGGTCGTACTTGGACTCGTGGACGTAGATCCGCTCCACACCGCAGCACGACTGACCGGCATTGTAGCAAACACCATCCACAAGGCCCTCTGCTGCGGCTTCAGCGTCAGCTTCAGCAGTCACGTATCCAGCGTCCTACAACAAGGTAGTAGGTATTAGCGCTCGAGACTCAAAAGCAAAGAAGAGGTAGCTGGCCTACATTTCCGCCCAGCTCCAAAGTCACATCGATGGAGCGTTGGGATGCTACTTGTTGTACTTGTCGTCCGCTGTGGTGGGGGATTCATACTATTAGAAAGCGGGCCCACAAGTTGGAAAACACGACAGACGTACCCTCGGACAGACCCCGTAAACGATACGAATGCCGTCTCCGGGCGCTGGATGATCTCTGAAGCCGTGTCGTGCTCAACAAATGACGACTGGAGCACGTTCTTCGGGAAGCCCGCTTGCTCGAACGTCTTTTGATAGTGCTCTCCGCATAGAGGAGTGCGAGGCGAGTGCTTTAGCAGCACCGAGTTACCGGCCAAAACAGCGGGGATGATCGAGTTGACTGCTGTCATGAGAGGATAGTTCCATGGAGCCTGTTTCCAGTTGCAGAGCATTAGGTGCGACTAGTGAAAGAGAAGGAGTTCAAACCACGTACAATAACATAAACGACGCCGACAGGATCGTGCGTGATCTGGCGGAACAGTCCATTCTCTTCCGGGAATGAATCTGTGCGGAGGGCCTCGTTGGAGAGGTAGATGAGAGCCCTATGCAGCAAATAAGCAAGGTTAGAATTGCCCCAAAACTGAGCTTATGGCACATCGTACTTGGCACGGTCAATGGTACCGTTGACCTCGTTGCGAGCTTGTTGCACAGGCTTCCCCATCATGCCAGAGATCTCATGTGCAATGGATTCGGAGTTGCTCTTGAGGGCGGCAATCCACTTGGTGCACAGCGCCTGACGCTCCCTGAGTGGCACGTTCTTCCAATCGAGCTGAGCCTTCACTGCCGCATCGAGCTTGGCGTGCGCCTCAGCCTTCGAGTCATAAGCGACCTCGCAGAAGGTCTCGCCCGTGTATGGATTGTCCACTTTCAGTCTGCAACAGCAGCGAGCAATATTTTCAACTATGGAGTGTCTTCGATGTAGCGGGCAATTGCTCTTTTAACGTACGAGGAAGCAGCGAAGCCGCGCTGGGAAGAGACCTTAGCGACTTGACGAGCGGTTGTTGCGAGCTACAGTAGCAGCAGTAATTTCACTGGAAGGAACCTCGCGGACTCAAAGTTGCCAGGGATACCTGAGTGGTGTGGCGAAACATTTCGGATTGAGGAGCTGTTGGTGAATGGCAAAGTGATCTGCAACGTCATCTGTTTCGATTAGATCCCTTGGCTAGCGCCACCAAACGCTTTTGATTCGCTGATAATTCAACCGCCCACTCCCGTCGCATCCCCTCAAGGTAAGGACGCGATGGCGTGTCGCCGCGTTCGACTGCTCCGCCGATCTCCACTCACCAACAAGATGCTCAGGCGCGTGGCTGCTCGCTCGCCGCTGCATGCGTCTAAACTAAAGCTCCTGCACACGAGTGCGGCTGCGACTCCTGATGATCAAGACGGCATCCGATACCTGGTGATTGACGGCTATGTTAAGACGGGCCGAGACGTGCTGGAGGCTGGTGGTGCCACCACCGCTGGCCAGTTGTACGCCAACATGCTTGTCAAGGCCACAAAGCGCAGCGTCGATCGCTCCGCATCGTACGACCTTATCTATCCCGCCGATCCGGGCTTTGTTGCACCAGATTTGTCAAAGGTAAGCCAGCATCTTGTCATTTAATCTGCAGAAATAACTGACCTTGCTGCTTAACGTTATGACAGTACCATGGTGTGGGCTGGTCGGGGTCTTCTCTTGCTGTACACGAACGTGATGACCCATCCGTCGTGCAGATGATGCGCCTTGCCCGACAGAGCTTCGCTCACGGCGTGCCGCAGTTCGGTAGCTGCTTTGGACTGCAACTTGCTGTGGCGACTGCTGGTGGTGTCGTGCGGAAGAACAAATGGGGCAAGGAATTGGGTGTGGCACGCAAGATCCGTCTTAATGCTGCAGGTCGTGCACATCCAATGTACGAGGGTAAGCCGTGCGTGTTTGACGCTTTCAGCAGCCACAAAGACGAAGTCCGACTCATTCAGCCTGGAGGTCTTCAACTCGCGTCAAACTCGTTCACTTCGGTGTAGAGTGTGTGTCTTCGATATTTACAGGGCGAGTTCTGGGGACTACAGTATCACCCGGAGTATGACCTCCATGAGATGGCACGGTTACTACATTGCCGTCGTAAGATGAATTCTAAACTGGGTTTCTTCACGGATCTAGAGGATGCTGACCGCTTCGTCGACCTGATGGAAGAACTGGCAGCGGATCCGACGCGCAAAGACCTCGCGTGGCAGATTGGGTATGATAAGGACGTGCTGGATGAAGACCTACGCACGTGTGAGGTGAAGAACTTCGTCAAGCATCTGGTGCTGCCGTATTACATGCAATGGCAACAACAATCAAGAGACAAGGAGGGCAACATAGTTCGAGATGTTCCATGTCAGCAGGAAGTGGCATAAGTAAAAGGATTTATAAAATATATGGTTTGGTTTGCCTTCGTATTGCAAGCAACTTATCCAAAAGAAAAATTCAACAGAACTGTACTGTATTTGTAAAATCTCATCTCCCTTTGCAACGCGCAAACATTTTGCTACTCCTGCTTCTCGTGCGCACGCTTTCTATTTTTTCGTTTGCGGAAAATGGCAATGAGAATCAAAACGAGCAAAACAGCGCCACCACAGACGAGGCCAAATTGCTTCACTGCCTCCATGAATTCGAGTTCTCGCATCATTTTGACTCCGTCCACACTGCGCGAAAGATTATTTGCCACATTAATGAGCGCGATGAGCTCGTTTCGGTGCAACTTTGAGATTGTTGACACGTCCTCCGTGAGCAAGATCTTGATGGCCGTACCCAATCCCATAGTTTGCAGCTTGCCCCAAAGTCGACATTTCTCGCACGTGACGCAGTCCATGATGCGACTCACGTTCTGGAACTTCTCACGGAATTGCACATCAAGCTGCTCTTTCTCCTGTTTGGCTTGTGCAAGCTGATCGACAGATAATCCGTCGGCTTGAACACGGAAGAGTGCACTCTCGTCAAAGCCAGACAGCACGGATGAGCACTCAGCATACGCTGGGCAAGACACTCCCGTCGCCCGAGCATCGTCCGACCCTTCCAGCAAGAGCTGGCGCAAAATTTCCCTCACACGGACGTCATCTGCAGCGTTTCCCGTGTTGTAATCATAAGCCAGTAGTTCATGTCGGTATTTGCTGATCGCACGCATGACGAACAAGTAGGCAAAATAAAGATTCTGCAGCCGTTCACGGTGCTTGCCAACTCGGTTAACGAACAGCGATGGGTTAACGCCCCATTTGTCGCCGTATTTGTAAGTAAGCGCGATGTGTGTGTTGATCGATGCCTGTAGCCCACTGATGAGGCGGTAGTACACACGCTCTTCAAGACACAAGTTATCCAGAACGCTCTCTTCCGAAGGTGTGAAGCAGTTTTCCTTGTAAATGGCCTTCCAGATGCGCTCGGCCTGGATGCCGCTGTATCCTGTGTATCTCTCTGGGTTCTCCAGTAAATTAATGTACGTCATCATCTCCTCTGCGTCACCCTGCGTTGCCCAAACATTTGCACTGGAGACTTCTTCCCATTCCTTGAAAGTCTCTCCTGCCGCAGCGTTCTTGCGGTCGACCTTAGACAGCGTGCTCTCTCCGGTTTGTTCGTCGCAAGGCTTTCCAGCCTCCTGTCTTTCACTAAGTCGCTCCTGCTGGTCCATCACACTCCATGGAGCTGGAATCTCGTGCGACGGGCATTCACAGACTGCGCAGTCGATACTAGCGCACATGCCGTCGTCCCGCCACGCCTGGAAGGGGCACTCTTTCCCCAGGTCCACTTTAAAGTACCGGAAAAAAGTAAGGCGCGACAGTTCGTGTAGTAGTGGATGAAAATGCTCGTTCACCGCCTTGTCCACTGTCTCGTAGTCACACGCGGAGTCCTGCACGCTGCCCGTGAGTTCCGGAGTCTGGCACACTTGGCATTGCAGATAATCCACCATGTCCTTCGGAAACAGCGGATTCGGCGTGTTATTGACGGAGGCTGCGGAGGACTGGGTTGTCACTGCGACAGCGGCTATGGCGAGCAGTCCCAGACGCCTCAGAGACGCAATAGCGACCATAGTTGCTCAATGCCTTTGCCACGTATCGTAGACGTTTCTGATTGACGTTTTGTAAGAAGGAGGTAGGAGGTTGGAATGTCGCGTGAATGTGGCGCGTATTCGTGCAACATAAGCACTTCAACATTTTCGAGAAACATCGATTCAAGTAAATAAGGCTACGCTTTTGATTGTTCTTGTTCAGTTCAGTTGCAGTGGACCAAATTCGCACGAAATCACCTTGAGCGCGCTTTTGCGGGCCACGAAGTCGCGCTCCTCAGCGGACAGGAATCCATGGTCTTTAATTTTTGCGTGGCTGTGAGCCACTTGTACGAGCTTGTAGGCGTGAGCTAGGTCGCGCTCTAGCAGTCCTTCCTCTGCGAGGCCTAAAGTCTTTGCAATAATCTGCCTCCATGGTTCCAGTCCGACGAGCTCTTCCAGCTGCTGCTGGCCGCACACGTCCGAAGTCAAAACATCTTTAATCTTGCAGGTAACAAACGCTGATAGCGCTACGTGCAGCCACACCTTCCACGCGCGTGCATGATCCTTCGGTTCGAGTAGATGCTCAACCTGCTGCAGAGCCCACGCCGACGTCACAGCGTGAAGAATAACGAAATCATTGTGCTCGATCATCATGTACAGCCAGAACGCCACGTCCAAAGCGAACACCCCGTTCATTTTTGACAGGTCGAACGCATTGATCGAGTCCCAGATCAGGTTGAACGCTACGCTGCTGCCTCGTTCTGGGTCGCCCGACAACGTACTCAACCTCTTTTGGATGCCACCAATTTCCAGATCAGCCAGAGGCTTCATTTGCAGCTTGCGATGCATTTCGCTCAGCAGCAACTCATTACCATTTAGCATTCGCACTAGCTGCATCGCTTCTCCACGCGAAAACGGTATATTTTCCTTGCCGTTTGTCTGTTGCGGCTCGTCAAACGAAAGGTAAGCGTAATGCATGTACGTCAGCCCTTCGGCCACAAGACGCTCGCCACCAATGTGGTAGGCATAGCCGAGCTGGATGATCGAGTGGAGTAACGCTCCAGCTAGTCCACCGACAAGATCGGGCAAGTGTTTCTTAACAGCTGTGTCGACCCCCAACTCTTGCACCTCAGCGGCATACAATGCAAGCAGTCCGTCAAAATTCTGGCGCTTGCCGAGTAGATGGTGCGCACTCTCGATCGTCAGTTTTGACTCCTGTAAGAGCTTTGCGCGAATGTCTGGCTTCGTCACATCTTGGTGGTTGGGCTCTTCCTTTTCCAATTTGGCCGAGTAGGATTCGGCAAAATCTTCGATCTTTTCTTCACTCGCGCCGAGGTCGAAGAGAGCCACAACGCCGTGTAGCAGGTGGTTGGACAGGTAGCCACCATACTCGATGCGGTAGTTCAGCGTGGACCAAGTTTGTGTGAGCTGCTGCTGCACTTGCGTCAAGCCAGCGCAGTGAGTCATTCTATTACTTCTTCTTCTCTGTAAGAGCATCTCCACCGGTGGGGCTCTATATCTATATAGCGACTGAAGAGCTCAAATTGATAACTACTGGGGTTTCACCAGGCGTCTCTATCGCCAATTTTTTAGCTACCGGGGGGTTTCGGTCGCTATTTCGGACGCCATAGCGACTGAAATCTATAGGAGGTTGGATCACTTGCAAACGAACAATGCCTCGAGGAAAAGCTTGGTCGGACAAGGAAGACGCCGCCCTGTGCACGGCGTGGTGCGCTACCCAATCGCAGGGGCCGATCAGAGGGCGGACAACCTTTGGACGCTAATCTTGCAGTCATACTGTACGATAGTACCAGGATGCTTGTGCGG